AAAAAAAATACCTGCGGTCGACTAGCTCTCTGTATTGCACATAAATCATGGTACACCTCTTCCTCTTTCGTATTTCGATCATCCACGTGACCGTTACAATGTGCGTTCTCCGTCGTACTAAATTTCGATGCGACCATATTAATCAGGCACACAAAATATACGGGCGCCCATTTGTGAATGGTTTTTTTCATATGTGGTCAATTTGCATATGGGTATTATGTTTGAATATGTACAAACACACAAACGAGTTTATATACAATAAAAATGTGTTTTAGCGTGATTTACGGATATTCGCACGATATATATTGTACACATTTATGGTGTCATGGAATTTGCATTGGCCATATATCAACGGATCGTCCGGCAAACAGGTGGATTGATAAAAAAAATGAAATGTAAAAATAACAAAATAAATAATAAAACAAAAATAAAACTAAGTTCTACATAATGCAATGAGCAATTAAAATAAATTTCTCAGGTATTAATCAGAGCTAAAGCGAATGATTCAATTTCACGAATGGTATTACGATTTCTCATGGGCCAGAGCAAAATCATTTTTTAATACACAAAATTGGAGAATGCTTTTAGTTTAGCCAAAAGAAAAAAAAAATCAAAATCCAATGAAAATCCAGCTTTTAAATGGCAATATATTAATAGATGCCAGTTGGTTTTTCGTGGGAAGAGAACCGTTATTCGAGCACGAAATCACATTAAAACCATGGCGACATGAATTTAATAAGCAAATATAGGACTTGAACAAAGGTATCGAATAAAATGATGAATGAGCCAATGTATGAGATAATGTGCGTGAGCGTTGAACCGTGTCTCAGTGTCGATGCCGTTGGTGGTAGTAATGGTGTTGGATGTAAACGATGAGGATTCAAACTGAAGAAGAGTGTTGGTTTATTTGCTGAAATACTCAACGAACTGTTTATTCACACACTTTTCGATACATCTGCATAAAAACGATTTTTTCTTGTTTCCATTCAGACGGTTATAAAATATAAGCAATTCCAAGAAATAACTGCGTGATTTGGAACAAAATGAGATAATTTCGCTTAATGGTTCTTATCTTACACATACAAATGCACACAAACATTTCGATGATTAACCTGCACCGCTTGTTTTCATTCATCTAACAATGGCATGTTATTTGCACAATCCTCATATTTGGTTTGCAATTTCATTTGGAAAGTGCTTCACATTATCTACCTGCTTGGAGCTTTTTTTTCTCTACAAAATTCAAATGCAAAAAAAATGGCGAAAAAATTTGGGTCGTAAAAGGGCGAACATGTACAGCACGTACAAGGACAATTAAATGAGTAGGATTTTCTGCGAATTTCTCGTTTTTCGCGTATGAATAATCTATTTTAATTGGAAATTTATGCATTGCAGATTAGACAGAATTGGAGCAAGGAAAAAGTCCATTTCCAACTCAAACTTGAATAAATTATTTTGAATTTCTGTAGCTGTACACACGGTTTGAATGAAAACGAATAGCGGCTCCATTTCCGATGAACATTAATTCGATTTTCTCGGTGCGCTCAACTAAATTACGTTCAATTGTAGCGAAAATTTCATTTACTTGATTGAATGTTTCAATCAATGTGAAATAACAACAGCATCATTTCACCTTTGACATTGACCAATGCTTCAATGTTTCGGATGGGAGTAATACTTGTTTGACGTTTTTTTTTTTTTTGAAAATTTCCATTTGAATGAACTTCATGCAAATCATTTGGATTATTTTTTTTTCGTAAGTTACTTACATTTTCTGGGGACAAAAAGGCGCCAGAGGCGATGTAAATGAAAATAAGTGTAAAAAAATCGAACTCCTGTCCGTATTATTTAAGGACACCGTAAAACATTGTTTTATCAATGAAAATTTAAATAGGATCGATCCCATGTTATTTACTTTCTGCCAAGTTTTTTGTGAGAAATTCTTGTATAAATACTTCATTTCATTTGAGTGCTTTCCGTTGTTGGTTTTATAACATTTTCATTTTATCAGCTTCATGCTTACTTTGTTCAATTTATGAACGATTTTTCTTCTTCGTTCTATAAGTTTTGTTGATCTTATTTTATTTGGTTCGGGTGTGCAATATAAGACGATGATAACAGTAATAATTTTCATTTAATTTTTTTTTCCGCACAGTGCCCGGAAAATCAAAAATGAAAGAAAATACGTGTAGTAAAATCATATGTGGTTAAACATATTTTCGCAATGGTGCGATATATGACAGAGACGAAATAAAAGAAAATATGTTTGGGTGACACAGCAAGCTCTTTTAATATAAACGATATGAAAGCGTAAAACGAGGATTACGAGACCGGAACACTTATCGTTTCTTTCAATTTTTCTTCTTTTTTCTATTCGATGCGAGAGTGATATATAATACGATGTTTGTGCGATGCTCAATTTTCCAATCAATGACATAGTGGAAATACGACATGAGCAAAAAAAAAGCGACCAAATAAATAAATCGATGATTTTGCCAAACAATTCATCGCATGAAACTGGTACTTACGATAGATAAAAACAAATATTAACTATGAATAATATAGTATTTTATATTTGATCCAAAACTATTTGGCTGCTATTCGTAACAAACCACAATAGACGGATATAAAAATATATATATATATTTGCGATGGAAAATGTGAGCATTTCGCTCAGTTCAACAAACAGCAACAACAACTACACAACAGCGCTGAAAAAGTGATTTTACGACAGAAATAGAAGCGCAATTCTAACGATGTTATGCTCTCATAGCGATTCATTAATATTTACTTAGCGAGAGAGAAAAAAAAACGTTGAAAAATACAACGGTCTGGTAAGTACTCGATTAAACATAAATTTGGTGCGCACCTTAGATGCCAGAAATTTATTTCATTCATCTTTGTGGGGTCGATTTAATAAGAAAATAAATAGACATTTCAAAGGTATTTCTTATTAAATTGGGGATTTGTTTTTTGCCAACATTTCTTCGTAAATACTTGAGTTAATAATTTATTGCAAATATGAGCTCGATTCACTTTTTTTTGTTCATCTACTCATTGAACCAAAACAAAGCTGAATTTTGTTTTTCTTACTCATTTGCTAAAAGGAGAGCCGCCTACGCCCCACTTGAATGCTGTACATGTTTGCACTTAAATGAATTTTTTCTTGTGTGTGCATGACACTCTAATCAGTTTTTCAAAAGAATTGAATTTGGGCTCTTTTCATTCGCAAGGATTGATTCAATTTTGACTTCAGGGAATTTTATATAGAAATGGCAATAGCATCATACCGCTTGGCATACCTGAAGGCGTCAATTCGTAAGAATGAACTTTGAATTAAGCCGCTTTTTATTCTCAAACATCTTAACCGACCACTTTGAATAAATTGGCCCCACATTTATGAATTGTGTGTTCGTGATTTTGCGTAAAAATTGGATATTATATATATATATATAATATATTTTACTGTAGACGTAAGAATATTTTACTTAGTTCGCACAAATACCCAACGGAATATGTTTAGAATGAGCGAAAGAAAAAAAAAAATCTGGAAAAACCAATTTATAATATCAAAAAAGGGCGCACATTTGAAATGCTTGAACGGTTCTGTTTGTTACCACATTAAAATCAAAATGATTACGCCAAACCATGAAAGTCAAATGAATTTTTAATGCGACACATTGTGGGGAAAAAGGATGACATTGTCAGACTTGATGAATGAAATGTGTTCGATGTGCTTGTGTGAATAATTGTGGATGTGCGTGGTTTCTCAAATCTATCGGTTAAAGTCATTGTTTGTTTAATGTTCAAACAACATCAGCATCGTTCAAATGAAATGAAAGACACAAGCCAATGAACGGAGCACCCAAATTCATTAGATGAATGTTATCTTTGCAAAAGTGTTGGCAATGAACAATGTATACAGTCGCATTCTAAGTGGGTGAAAATGGCATTTTTTGTACAAGTAACTTTTCCAAATCAAATATAAATCAAGACCAAATAAATGACAAGACAATCTACAATATATTAAGCTACAATTCGCTCAACGAATACAAAATAAATCAAAAAAAGGGAGAGAAAGAGAAAAGAAAAGGTTGAGTCAACTTTTATCCGATAAATGGCTAAAGTAAATACAATTTCGGAACAACATTAGAAAATAACACTCTACCAAACACAACACACTACCAGCAAAAATAAAAAGAAACAAAACAAAAGTGAGAGAAGAAAATTGTACGTGAGAATAGCAATAGTAATAACAAACAACACATGACATAACAACCACACGTCAAAACTATAACAGAAGCAAAAGTTTTCAATTGTGCCAAATGGTTACGGGGGTCACTTGAGTTTGACACACTACCTCGGGTTTTTTTGAGAAGGTCACATAGCACAGATCCTCATAGATTTTTTCCTCGATTAAACTGACATTTGTAAAGTCATCATCGCAATAAAGATACCAATCGCTGCCCAAAGGTGGTTCGGTGATTTTTATTGTAGCAACCGTCGACGAGCCACCATTATTCAAATGATTTTCTAATTCTTCTTGATTCTCTTCGGTGCTGCTATTTAAACTGCTACTCGCTTGTTCATCGTCAGCCACCAAACTGCTGCCGCTGCTATCACATTCGTTATTATCGACAGAAGTTGTACGAGCATCCTCATTGTTAGCTAATCGAGTGCCATTTGTCTCCGATTTCTCTGCACATTTATCCGACATTTTTGCATGATGATTATTGCTGTGGTGCGATGCGATTTAATGCGATTTGATGTAATACGTATTTAACAACAATTTAAACGAATAACGCAGCAATAAATTACGACGAAAATCAGAGGAAAGAGAAGAAAATTCATCAAATTTATGTTGTGACAAGTGATTTGCAAGGACAAAACATTAAATGCTGTGCAAATGATGAATAACATTGCATTCTCTCATGGGAGATGTAGAGAGAAAGAGAGAAAGAGAGCGAGAGAGTGAGAGAGAGACGGCAAAGTGCGAAGGTTTTGAATTGTGAACAATAAGTGTCTGCTGGATGTTTTAATCAAAATAAATGCTTTCTCGAACACGAATCGATTAAAAGACCAACGAACCGAATACAAAGGTGTCTCTCGATTAGAATAAAACCATTGATATTGATTGTAATGCCATTGAAATTGATAACAACAACAAATTAAATGTAGAATCTCATTTCCATATTTTCTTTTTAACATTGAATACTTACGTTGAATGTAAATCCTTATAGATATCTTCACTGGAGTCGCTTCGTTCGGACGGCGAAACTTGTATGCTAAAGCCTCTGCACGTCGTCGAAAGTTGGAGATAGAAAAATAAATAAAAAAAAGACAAAAGAAAGATATTAAAAATTGATCAAGTCTGACAACAGTTTTTTTTGTCTCTCTCCTTCGTTGTTTTATGTTTTAGATACGGGTCTACACTTTCTTTATCCTTTTATCCTTCGTTCATGTTCAACAGATTCAGTCTGTGAAGGGTGGAAACAAATGCCATGGACTCAATTACAACTTGCTTTGAATGGCTTTTCATTAATGTTCTAGAGTTCAAATCTTTGACTGCAACCACATGGCAAAGTAAAAGCATAGCATAATACTATGCTATACATGTTCCACGCTTCTCATTGAATTTGATGCAACTTTCAAAGGTTGTCGGACGAAAAAAAAAACACCGAAATATGGATTTTTCTATGCTACGTACTATGGTATAAGATTATCAACAGTTCTATGGTGCATGAAGCATTGTACACTTACGGTAAATGTGGATGAATTTGAGCAACACGTCGCGATAACTTGGATAATGTGATTAAAACTCGATGGAAATTAGTCAAATTGTAAAGCATTGTCGGTTCAAAAAGATCCGATTCCCGTAGGCCATAGTAATTTTTGCATGTGTCTAGGAACAACTTGATATTCTGGCAGCACAAAAACTACATCGATACCAACCGATGACAACAATGTGACAGTAATTACACAGGAAATTACGTTGAATGACGAGAGTGAGCGGGAGAGAGAAAAGAAAACGAGAAATAATAAAATATTGAATTAATCACGCGTAAAACAGCAACTAGAGCTCTCTGGTAATACATTTCGATTTACATTGAAACAGATAAATTTGATGACACACTAAACAGAATAAACTAATTTGCGTAGGATTGAGCTTCTACGAATTATTATGAATTTTCATTTCAATCAACTCATTTATGTGAATCAAAAATTATACGGAAAGTGAGCTCTGGCACACGAACGCATTTATATATATATGGTGATGATTTGATGTTTCTCAATGATAGCATTTACAAAAGAAAAAGAAGAAGAAGAGGAGGAGGAAAAAAGTGACACAAACAACAAAAACAACAGTCGTGTACATCCTGTCTGAATGCGCCTTTAAAATTTATTTATGCTAGATGCATCGACACCAAATGTACATATGTTTTGTACACATATAACAATTTTGGTTGCCATATTCTCTCAACTATACAATTCGATTGTGTTCATTTTGTGTGCGAGTTGAGAAAGACTCGACAAAAAAGAGAGCCAAGAACAACAAAAAAATAACAACAACAACAACAACCAATGCTCACATACAAAGATCGTATAGTGTAGTACTGATACATGCTGATTGTACTTTCCATATATTTTCACGCAAATGAATGTTTTACGATATTTTGTTTGAACAGCAAATCATCAAATTATCGTTGTCTCATTCGTTCTCGTTTATTCGATTGGCTGTTATCGAAATGCTTTGATTATAAATAGAGCTCCAGCGAACGAAAAAAAAAATGGTCTGAAATCCCTCTGCTATAATATTTTCTTTTCATATTTTGCAATGGTAAAAATAGATTGTTTATGGAAAATAGAACATACTTGTGCCATTTGTGGTTTGCGGTTGAAGTCCTTCATGTCAAGGGCATTGGGATCGATTGAATTTAGTAAATTGCACAATATAACACCGTCTCGTAGAGTCAAGGCTAACACACGGATCTCCGAGTCTTTCCAATTTGCTTTGTGATCGCTTGGAATCGCTTTGCATCTCGTCAACCAGTCCACACATTCACGCCACAAATCATCCGATAAATTACTTGCCATATTTGCTTAATTACTCGTTTCAATTAAAACACACAAGACCTTTTGCCAATTAGGTTGGTGAAACGAATTGAAAAATAATGTGGAAAATTGTATCTTCAGATCACAAAACAGCTAAAATGAAATCTGAACTGATTTCACATAGAAATGTAGACAATCACCGATGTCAAATGATATCAGAATTTGAATGCTTTTATCAATTTCATAAGCACAATAGATTTATTTCCAATTAATTTTTCGGTCACCGTCTTGTGTCGTATGCACAGCACACACATTCCATTTCAAACAATTAAATATCGGCAGAATATATATGAAAATTAATATCACTGCTAATGAGCACGAACAAAATTGCGAAATGCGTGACACACGAACAAATACAAATAAAAACTATATTACACACAATATTTAATTTCTTTTTTTTTCTTCTTTCGTTCGGTCGTTTTCACTATTTTATTTAGATAATTTAACGTGTGAATAAATTAGTATTCAAATTAGCTGATGACACTTTTATTATGCGTGCAAAATGACGACAAGCACGCACTATTTTATTAAAAAACGATTGAGTTAATGTGATATTTCGGTGATATTTTGATGATGATTTCAATGCATTAATACACGGCAATTACACTTGCACTTCATTTATGATACACACTTGCTTCGAAATTGGTTGTTTTACTCTAAATTTGAAAATTTACTTATCTACAAAATTAAATTCGAAACGAAATTTTTGAATAAAACCTGATTTTAGATTTGTCTACGTAAATTTACACGCCACTCGGTCATATTAATCGCCAAAAAAAATCGAAATTTATTCTCTTTTGGTATTGAAAATGGGAGAGCGTAACACAAATGTGTGTTGGTATGTCGTGTGTCTCGTACCTATCTGATGTTTTGTTTCGAAAGCATTCTGTTCTGAAGTGAATGTGATTAAACATAAAAGTCATGAAATTCCATTCAATCCAGCCATTGGAAGTTCATACATCAAATGGAAATATTGGAAGCTATCGCATGTGATTATTCATTACTAACTCGACACACCAATTATCACATTATTTTATTATTTATTTAGTATTTGGAATGGCATAGAAAATATACTTTAGAATTTAGTCAGTTCTCTTTATGAAAATGTACACATTTTTGCATTAAAATTTACATGTGCCAAACAGTTTAAGTTGAATAAATGTTTCGCGGTAAAATTTCATTCATTGCAGTGATTTGTGTATGTGCTTGTTTGTTGTACAATAGTATTTCCAGTCCAGACTCTGAACTATTACGACATCTACATGTCAACTTTATAAACGCCTTTGAATGTTTATGATGGTTTAAAGAAAAAAAAAATGGTAAGACTAGTTTGATTTATTTGAAGGGAAAAAAAATGCTTTATTACTTCTCTAATGAAAGAAATTGGAATATCTTTAGAAATAAGAATGTATCGCACAAAATGTGATGAAATACATAGATAAACGTTCAAACAACAGTCATCGCTGAAATCATGCGTTGCCAACATGACAACGTTCAATTGTTTGGTTTGACGTTTGAAATGCTAAGCTACGAAAAATTTTCATTGTAAAATCCATCAATGTGTAACCATTGCTCACAGCGGTGAACTTTACTTTGTGCCGGTCAATATTTGCATGAGCAAAAAAAAGTGTTTTTCTAATTAAATTGCAGCAATCCATTAAAAGTTCTCATAATTGAAAAAGTGATTAAAATCGAGTTAATTGAAAATTCTTGGGCTTTTATCAAATTCAATCAAAGTTCTATGTCTGACGAACGTTTGTGATATAAATATATATATATATATATCATTTTTAATTTTCTTCAAGGGTCACACAGTTGGTTTCGACATTGTAATTTTGACGACGATATTGTTGTTGTTGTTTTTGTCATTGTTGCTAGTATCGCTAAAGCGTTCATGCACAAGCCAACAATATGGATGACAAAATAAGAAGCAGTGGTAATGAACCAAATGATGGAGACGATAGTCAACAGAAAACGTCAAGAAGTATGCAATTGCGTCGTTATTTTTATTCGATTTGGATGTCGATTCAATTAATCATTTAACAATTGTGTGTAATTAATAGGAAGACGAACACCATCGGCCGAACCATCGGATCGGAATGATGGAAAAACAAAACGCAAATCGCGTTCGCGGTCGGTGAATTCACACTCCAGGTCGCCATCACGTGATCGAAGTAGTCGTAGACGTCGTAGCCGATCAAGAGGCCATTACAGTCCGGACCGACGATATGGACGGTGAGTTTATTACACATTTATTTTTTATTTTTGACAAATCTGTTTGAATTTTAAGGTTATTTGAGTTGATGTGGTTGTGCACGTGTCACTTTTTTCTTGGAATTAAATTTTTTTTCCCATTTCAATTAGACAATTCAATCGAGGTGGTTACCAGCGAGACTTTTACAATCGTCGAAGACAATCACGGTCACCCGGTTTTCGCGGTCGCAACCGAAATGCACGTCGAAGTCGAAGTACCAGCTTTGATCGGTATAGAAATCGACGCAATGCATCATCATCGCGGGAACGTTCACAGAGCCAAGGGCGTGAAAATAGCCGAGCTCCAGCACAACAGCCACCACCACCTCCACCAACAGCAGCCGCGACAAACTATCCGAACGATTATGCACCAACACATTTTCAACCCGAATTTGTTGCACAACATCAATCTTTTCCAAATGCTCAGCCATTCGGAAATTATGACTATCATCCAATGATGCAACCGCCTCCTACATCGTTTCCAGCCTATCCTCCACCCACACAAGATTACGTATGGAATGCACAAGTGCCACCACCACCAATCATTAGTTGTGCACCAGCTGCATCCGATTCGACAGTCAGTCAACCAGTTCCAACGCTACCAATCAATGAAACCGACGAAGAACAACAAAAGCGGCAAGGTAAAACGATACTTCTAATGTCAACAAGTTAAAATAAAATTAAAAAAAAAAACATTTCAATGGAAACCTATTTATGTTTCGTTATAGCTGCCATTGCTGCTGAAAAGAAAATCCAACGCGATACAATTCGCAAGCAACGCGATGATTATATTTGTCGAGCGAGTGCATTGAAACGTGAACTGATCACGTTGAAAGAACAGCGTGAAGAATTAACGGGCGATGTGCCGCCAAGTCCAACAACAAATGGTTTTATCTTACAAAATGATCGATTGCAGGTAAATACCAATCGAAGATTGTTTGTTGAGTTGCAACACTTTATGCACTTTATTTTGTTCGTTTCTTTTGCATCTTATTTTCATTGCTCAAAATCACAATTCATTTTCCGCGTGGAAAATGTATTTTGGATTTTGAGTGAGATTTTATTTTCATTTCTCATTTGATTTTATTTGAACATTGATTGTGTTTCATGAATTGCAACAAATCAAAATCGTATCAAATTATATAATGCACCAACTAGCAAACAAAAATTGTCAACATATTTCTCCCACTTTTCACAGCGTATCTGGTCATTTATTCATTGTGCTAGATTAATATAGGCAAATATAAGAAAATAACTTTTCTCGCTAAGCGCAAAATTCGAGTGCATTGCGTGAGACATTCGGGTTCAAATTGAAAAGACGATGATGCAACTCTATCGTGAAGTCTATCACAGCATCACTTCATTCATCTTCACTGTGTTTACTTAGTTTTTAGCTGATTTATACAAAAAAAAAAGTAAACGTTGTAATTGTTTTGTTATTTGTTGCATTTTGTAACTCGTTAAGTTTTCAGAATTTTATTGACTTAATTCCATTGAATTTGATTTTTACACCATGCACCACACATGGATAAAATTGTTTAAATGGTAGCAATATTTCGCTTGGCCTTTTTGGGGGATTTTCGATAGATTTTCTGAAAACAAAACGGGATAGATCATAAGCAATTGAAATTGTAATTAGCCACATCAAAAATCGTTCAACATGGAAAATTGTATGTTCGGCGCCGACTTCAACACAATTGAAGTTGATGTTGTTTTCCCCAATGCAAAGAACAAAATATTTCTCGCGATTGGAACAAAAAAAAATCGAATTTTGGAAATGAGAAAATTGTGTATGGTGAATCGTTTCAAGCGATTAAGAATTGGGCCATTCGACTTTGATGCGCACGTGTCCATGAATCATCCGAAAGAAAAACCAATATTTCTTTTTAAAAAAAATCTATTGAAAAGTATCTGTGTGCAAACGCAAGAAATGCAAGTTTGATGAATTCCAATGAAATACTTTATGTAAATTTGCAGTGACATTCAGTCATTAAATTGCTAAATAATCGTTTTTTATTCTCTCTTTTTCATTTTCGTCGAACGTTGCGCCGTCGTTGTCAACATTGTCGTCGATGCGATTAATCTACGATTGCCAACAGGCACAAATTGAAAATAAAATTAGTACAATCGAAAATGTAATTGAAATGTTGAATGGAATATTAAGCGCCGATAAATCGGACAATGAATCTCCCAAGAAATTAAAAGTAGCACCAAAACAAGAAAATTCGGATGATAGTTCACCAGAACGTTTGAAGACGAAATTAATCGAAAGCTTAACAAAGAAGCGCAAAGGAAGTGAACGAAGCCGAAAAGATGAGTATGTATTCTAATAGCCAACCAGCCTAAGAAATTTCTATTTTTACTATTCAATTCAATTCAATTTCAGAAAATCATCAAAATCGGCCCCTATACCACCTGTTGAACAGATAAACTTTACATTTTTCGATCCAGAACAACATTGGTGTAAGGCATGTTCAACATTTCCAAAAACAGCCAAGGAATATTTATTACATTTGCATAGCGACGAGCATAAGAACAATGTGAAACCACCGGAAATTCCATGGCACGAACATTTGGTGAAGGACGATATGCCCACATATCCAAATGCGGCCACCAAACGAACTCCAATACGGGGTCTTCAATTTTTCGTACCGTCGACCGCATGGTATTGCAAACTATGCTCAATTTGGATTGGTGATTTGCATTGTGCCTCATCGCACCTTAAGTCGCAAACACATGCCAGAGAATACGAGAAATTCATTGTGAAAAATCCACTCTTCGAAAATGAATGGTTGGAAGAACGACAAAAAGCATTCGATGTGCATCGGGAAAAAGAAAAGGAGCAAAGTCAAAAGGTGATTGCACCGCCATCGCCACCCAAAATCAGTTCGCAAAAATCCAACAGTAGTAGTTCGAATCCAACAGTAGTTGCAGCGCCACCGCCGCCGCATATTTCTCCATATGGAAATGCGGCAGCGAATCGTTTATTCGATGGTATACCATTGCAAATCAATCAACGTACTAAAGATCTTAAAGAGGTCGTTGCATTGAATGAAGAAACGGTTGAGAAGAAAAAAGGCAAAAAGAAGAAGAAGGAAAAGAAGAAGCGAAAGAAGTCAAAAAAGAAGCATCGTCATTCGTCGTCAAGTTCGTCTTCAAGTTCGGAAGAGTCATCGATCAGTCGAAGTCCAGAGAGAAAAGAATCAAACGAAAAAATCATCGATTCAACCACATCAATTCGGGTGGCGATGCGTAATGCTGTCAATGCAGTACCAGCACGAGCACATTTGAAACCAAAATCAGATGATGAAGAAACACCTCGAGATACTGGTAGCAGCGCCGGTGGTTGGACAGTTGTTCAACCCGAACCAAAGGCAATAGCTCCAAAGGCACCGACGATCAGCGCAAATGGCGAGGCACAAAATCGACGAGATGAGGCGATGCTCTCACAATGGACACCATTGCCAGTTATTAGCGATCAAGAAAAGCAGCTATTCGAGCAACTTAAGGGCAAAATGAAAAATCGCGAAGAAAAGAAAAAGGATAAAACGCCACCGCCAACAATAGTACATAATGCAAATGTTCAACTGAAGCTGAATCCACCGCAGCAGCAGAACGAGGACACAACCGATCGATCGTCAATGGCCAGCGATAGACGTCGCAATGACAGCGATCAAGCATTCAAAGAGGTCAAAGAGAAAGATCGACGTGATACATATCGTAAAAGACGATCTCGTTCACCATCTTCACCTTATCGGGATTGGTAATGGAATAAAGAAAAAAAAATCGTCTTCGATTTAAAATGTTTTACAAAAATTCGATTGTTCGTTTTTCACAGGCGCAGCCCAAGACGCGATAGACGTAAAAGAAGTCGAACCCGCAGTCGATCATTGTCCCCAAGACGTGATAGGTAAAGTTTTCATTTATATTACATTTAAATCGATTCAAAATCAAATTTAATCTTGCCTATAAATTTGCAATTTTAGACGATACAGTCGTAGCCCAAGACGTGATAGACGCAGAGATTCACGTTATTCACGTTCAAGATCCCGAGATCGCCACAGCGAAAAGAGCGATTTGAAATCGGACAAAAATACCAAAGCTTCTGATAAAAAATCAAATGCAGCAGCGAAAAAAGCAGCAACGATTCCTGGCAAAAAATTACCATTCATTGGACGCATGCCAGTCTTCAAAAAACAATCAACAGGTAAATAATAATAGTAATTCGTCCAAAACGCATAAAACACAGGAAAATATGAAAAAGCATTCAAAACATATTCAATTATCATTTTACAGAAGATGAATCGAAGAAGCAAGATCTATCAAATGACATTTCCGAAGAAGAAAAAATGATTAAAAAGAAAAAGCAAGACGAATTGAAATTCCAAATCCATCAAAAACAACAGATGTTACAGTTGCAACAAAAACAGGCCGAAGCCTATAATTTAGCGCATCCCGGACAATTTGCAAATATTTACAATACACATGGGATTCATGGCATTATTTTGCCAACCGTACAACCAGAAGAATATGATTTGATGCCGGATCCGACATATGATCCAATGCAGTATGCAATGATGACTGCAGCACCCCCACCACCAATGCCAGAACCTGTAATACCTCACTTTGAAGAGCAAAGTGAACCCGTACTACCACCAGGTTTGTACAACATATATACTTATTCACTGTTTCCACTGTTTTACTCATGGAATTATATTATTTCGCTTCAAATTTAGGAATCGATGAAGAGGAAGCGGAAAATATGGAACTAGAAGCAGCGGTCCCACCACCGCCACCACCATCTGACAGAGGAAATTTACCAAAAGATTTTCAAGATGCATTGAGCATTATATTCGATAAAGGTGCAGAAAATCAAAGCGCTGAGAATGTAGTCGCAGCACCAGCTGATCACGAAAGTCCTAGCGAAGGCAACGATGTTGTGATGCAAGATGATGCATCTAATTTTGTACAAATGGACATGTCTTCAGACTCACACCAGCCACTCATTGAACAAGATCAAAGCAATGGTGCGGTGTTGGCTTCAACCACTAGCATCGAAATGGACGAACAGTCACAGTATGCTTTGCTATATGCTGACGACCATTATGCACAAAATCATGTACAGCAATCGATTGAGCCATCATTGTCAACGACCATTGGTGATCTATCGACTCAAAATATTCCAACACCACCCATTCAAATATTAGATGCAGCTGGTAATCTGACGAAAATTCCTGGACCAGTATTAGAAGTTAGTAATAACTTTGTTATGTTGGATCCGGATGGAAATCGCATTGATGACCCGAATACAAAGTATGTTGGCACAGCTGAAAGTGAACATGAAATTGAAATGCAGAAAAAGCGGCAGCAAGAACTAGACGATCTCGCCATGTTGGGAATTGACGCAGATGATTTAGCTGCTCAACAGCTTTAAGGGAAAAAATCAGTTTTTTTTCACACACGCTCTCCGATAGAACTATATACCTTTTGAACACGGGAAAACAAAAAAAAAGTGATTTTAATTCACTAAGTCGACTTTTTTTTTTATTAGGTTTTGTTCTCATTTTCCTAAATGTTATTTCATAAATGGTACAAGAGACAACATTATGATTTCGAAATAAAAATTACTTTAATCAAAAATTTAAAATCATCATATTTCTATTAAAAGTAAATAAGTAAATTGATTTGCTTTATTTTATCAATTGTGACATTAGCCTATATGGTGGCCTTAGTAAGTATTACCGAGAGGAGACAAGAAAAATCACATTAAAGATTCTCAAACAAGTCAAGTGCAGGATCATTTAGCAATCATGTCCAGACATTATAATGAGATATTTTCAGCCAGATGAATCAGCTCAGCCAGATATCGTCAGGAGCTGAAATGGAGTGAAAATAATAAAATTTATTGTAGCAATGTAAGTATAATTATAACCATCACATCTATTGTTTTCACTCAATTTCAGCTCCTGACGATATCTGGCTGAAAATATCATAATACATATAATGTTTGATCATGTCATATTTGAACTATTACCTATTTCAAGACAAGTAAAAAGTCAGATTCTTTGAACTTCTTTAGCCAAATCGATGATTGAATGAATAAAAACAATTTATACTTTTTGTTCGAACACAATCGAATCTATTTTATCATTTAAAATCAATCGTATTACAATTGAGAAGCAGGTAATCATAAGAAATTAATACAAAATTTTATTAAAATGAATGTTACTGATATTTCTTAACATATGCCAAATAATATTCGATTTTCTTGGTAACTGCGGTTAATTTTCCTTTTTCTAACTTCAAGCAAATGTTTTCCTTCTGATCATTAAAGCGTTTAGTAAATTTCTTCGAATCATTTGTTGATTTGCTGGAAGATGGGCATGGATCATTGGCCACACTTGCTAAAGCAGTTATTTGTGTTTGTGTAGATTTCAGTTCAACTTTTACGGCCAATAAAAGTCGATGCAAATCCGATAAGGCAGCCAAGACAAATATATTTGTTTGATTATCTTGAATTGGACCTTCCATGATATAACTAACATCTCTTCTCATTTGCTTCACATCATGTTCATCGATCGCATAGCCTTCGTTGAGTGCATCGTGCCGAATTGATTCGATGGCTACATCTGAATCATCAAAATTAGCATTGGTGCGAAGATTTGCGCACACCGCCACCAAATAGTTGACCGCTTCAATTTTGTTTGAATTATATTCACCATAAAAATACCGTACCATAGATGCATAAGCGGCTAGTACATTAATTAAATTATTGAGAACACAGGAAGCTGGTGTTTTTGTTGAAATTCGTGCAAAATCAACAATTGATTCCACAATCTGTGGGTGGTCGACTATTGTTTCTACTTCATCGTTTTCATCTCCATTCAATTCGGTCACTAATTTCCGTTTGATTTTATTCTCCCACCATGCATTGAATGTGGGTAAAAGTGAAGTAACATCCTCACTCTGCACAATTTGATTGAATTCTTGGCGTTCACTTTCAGTTAATTTCGACCAAATCGCATCAGCATCATTCAAATCAATTCCTTCTAAGCGTTTCGATAAATCACCAGCGTCTGCTGAATCTTCGTCATCATCTGAGTCAAGTGGCTCATCATCATCGGAATGCTCAAAATCAGATTCATCTTGTTGCTGACTTTCCACTCTTTTTAACATTTCGTACATTTTCTTCACATCTTCATCACCACTTGAGCGACCGGTTGCTTTTTTCATTTTGCTTTCAGCTGACATTTCTTCAAGTACACACTCTTTATAAAATTCTTCAGAGCATTTCAAATGGCTGGGTGATTTATAGCATTCGACCGAGCAATAGGAAAGATTACATCGCGGACAATTGTATTTTTGAGTTCCTTTGGAACATCTGAAAAAGAGAAATAATTCAATTTCAATGGTAGTCATGCTAAAGTAAATGAATGTGTAAAAACTTACATTTGACAAAGTTTGTTCGAAGACATTGTAATCATAGACACCGCGAATTGTCCTTCTTTGCTTATAATTGTTATCTCGTTTATTTTCTGCGTTTGACACCTTTAAAATTTAAATTAAAAGAAATAACAAAATGTTTTCTGTTTTGCTAAAACAAATACACGCGTTAAATGAACCGATTGTCAAACAGCAAAGCCGCTCAAAGTCTGTCACTCAAACGTCATTGCCGGATGTTAGGTATAGTTGTCCTTGTCGAACACACACCCTTTGTTCACGTCTCATCTGTCAAACTCTACATTGAGAGTAAACAATATCAATTTATTTATTTCGAGTACGCACAATCAAATCAATATTGCTCTCATGAAATTCCGATGCATAAACACAAAGACATCCGAGAATTTTCAACACACCAATCAAATAGTTGATATTTAAAGATTCATTCCATTAAAATAGTGCATAGAACTGTTACAATTTCATTGCATATTATTTTATTGCTCGATTAATTAATTCGGTGCGTAAAATAAAATCAGTATTCATGAGTTCGAGTTCAGGTAATGCATGCGGAAATCATGAGAAGCATGAGAAGGTTATATTATCTGGTGAAAATGCATTGGATTTGGATTTTTCGCCACTTGAGACCATTTTGCAATGGAAACGAATGTTAGAATGTGATATTTTTGTGGGTGCCAGGTAATGTAACACATAAAAGCATCTATCTAGTGAGTGTTTCTTCTTTTCTGAGTGTTTATTTGTATGATTTTTAGACGAAGCAAGCATACAACAGTTGCGTACAACGATGCAATTTATGTATTTGGTGGTGACAATGGCAAAAGTATGCTGAATGACTTGATTCGATTTGATGTGAAAGATAAAAGCTGGGGCCGAGCATTTGCAACAGGTATACCTCCAGCACCGCGATACCATCACTCAGCCGTTGTTCATGACAGTTCGATGTTCATATTTGGTGGCTACACTGGAGATATTCACTCAAATTCAAATCTTACAAATAAGAATGATTTGTTTCAGTACCAATTTCAACGAGCCCATTGGAGTGAATGGAAATTCACTGGCAAGTAAGAAAGTCAAAGCGATAAATAATTTTCCAAAGCAGCTATGGTATATTCACCTCAACGCAATTGTGTTTATAGGACTCCCGTACCTAGAAGTGCTCACGGTGCTGCTGTTTATGATGATAAACTATGGGTAATTTACCATTTTGTTTAACGATTCAAGCATACCGTCTTTTTCTTTCTTTCTACTCCCCCTCTCTCTCTTTCTTCTTTTCAAACAGATCTATGCGGGGTACGATGGAAATTGCCGTTTGAATGACATGTGGACTATTTCTTTGGCGGTTAGATAGTGAAAAATCAATTATTTAATATTCATTCTCATAAAGTTCCACGTTTTATTCGATAGAAAGATGATTGCAATCAATGGGAAGAGATTGAGCAAAAAGGTGAGAGACCACCAACATGCTGTAACTTTCCAGTTGCGGTTGCACGTGACTGCATGTATGTATTTTCTGGACAAAGTGGACTCCAGATTACGAATGCACTCTTTGAGTTCAATTTCAAGACAAACACGTAAGTTTGACCATTGACATTCAAATAATAATAAATTGTCTAATCTAAATGAAAAATGTGTTCGGTTTTATACACAGTTGGCGTCGCATCACAAACGATCACATTTTACGAAGTGCTCCAAAGCCACCGTCTCGTCGATACGGTCATACGATGGTCCATCACGATCGATTTTTGTATGTGTTTGGGGGCAGCGCTGATAATACGCTGCCAAATGATTTGCACTGCTATGATCTAGATGCTAAATTGTGGTCGGCAATCAAGCCAGAGGAGGGCTCTGATATTCCACCTGGTCGTGTATTCCATTCTGTTTCGGTGATTAAAGATGCCATGTACATTTTCGGCGGTACAATTGATAATAACGTGCGCAGTTCAGATATGTATCGATTCCAGGTATTATTATGCCGTATTTTAGACAAAACGGAATCATTTCCATTATGCATACTTTTCATTATAGTTTCCAACCTATCCTCGTTGCACTCTATATGATGATTTTGGTAAATTCCTTACGGAACGTCAATTTTGTGACGTTCAATTTTTAGTGGGTATGGACGAAGTAAAGATACCAGCTCACATTGCCATCGTTGCGGCTCGTTCCAAAGTTTTAAAGGACAAAATTTTGTAAGATTTTTTTAGCTCACATTCGTTTGTCTGTTTCAAAGACTCTTTTTCATCTAAACGGAGGTATATTTCATCACTTATGTAGGGATGCACGTGAAAAAATGAAAGAACATTTGGAAAAATTATTTGGAACCAGTGATGTTCCATTTTCGGATCGGCCAATGCTCGAAGTTAAAATACCGGATGCATTACCAGAGGCTTTTGAAAAAGTCTTACACTACATTTATACGGATCGAATTGATTGTAAGCCAACACGAATTTCAATCCTATAATTTCGTGATAATTATTACAAATATTTTTTTTATTACAGTTTCGGATCGAACCGATAATAAAGAAATCGTAAGACTTATGATGGACATTTTTCAGTTGGCGGTGCAATACTTGATCACGCGTCTGGAAAACGTTTCAATTCATTATTTTGAGCTTAAAATCTCCAAAGGCAATGTATTGGATGCACTTTATTATGCGGATAAGATGAAGTGAGTTTCGATGGGAAGTGAGAATACCGTACATGTAGTTAAAACATATTTTATCTTGGTTCTAGTCTGAAAGTCATTAAGGACCACTGCATGAGTTTCATTGTGAAAGAGGATAATTTTAATAACATTGTTATGACGACTGACTTTGCGGCATTAGATAAACCGCTTATGGTTGAAATCGTACGCAAGCGAGTCTACCCCGGCCGAATGAATGATATTAGAATCAGCAAATTACTAGGTATGGCTTGGTAAACAAATGTTGATGGCCGCCCTTAAATCGAGTCTCTTATTTCACAGGAACCACATTGGAAATGGATATGGCCACGTTTTTGAAAGGAAGTGGCAAAGAATTTTGCGACATAAACTTGATTCTTGACGGTCGCGTCATTCCAGCACACAAATCAATTTTGGCAGCACGATGCTCGTATTTTCAGGCAATGTTCAGATCATTCATGCCCGCAGACAACACAGTAAATGTACGACAATTAACGATTCATTTGACATTCGTCCATAGTTCATTTCAATTTTTTGTGCTTTTCTGTTTACAGATTCGGATTGGAGATATTTCACCGTCGCAAGAAGCATTTAGTTCATTGTTACGATACATTTACTATGGAGAAACAAGAATGCCACCTGAAGATTCATTATATCTATTTCAAGCATCTTGTTTCTATGGTAACATATTTGATGCGGTATACGTTTCATTTTCTTCAAAACTAATTTTCGTTCATTTCATTTTCTTGTTCAGGATTAACAAACAATCGATTGCAAGCATACTGCAAACATAATCTCGAGCACAATATTCATGTTCAAAATGTGTTGCAAATATTGGAAGCATCTGACAAGATGAACATTCCACGTATCAAAAAGTTTGCATTAGACATGATGGCCCATGATTTTCACCAGGTTTCACGGCTTCCCAAAATAGATGATTTGAACAAACCCCTCCTGATTGAAATAATCCATGCGATGGGCGATTATATTGCTGAACTCAAAATCAACAACGATCTGACATCGTCTAGCGTTCATAGTGATATATGAAATTTACTCTTTAGCAAGTATGCTGTGAATGTACTGTATGAATGGCTTTCGAAAAGGCGACATGATGATGGCGATGATGAATAAGACGAGATATAAACGATAAATTTATTCAATGTTTTCATACAAAATCGTTCGAATTGAATTTGTTCGAACTGAAAGTTTGTAACAGAGAATTTCTACCAGAGATGGATCAACGACAAATCTGACAAATGATAACTCCTTATCAAATAAGCGAAACAGCTGAGATTTCTACTTTTATGAATGTTTCAATTTTATCGTCTATTTAAGATATTTTTATAAATGTTATTAAAAAAAATTCTCTAGAAATAATTAATAAAATATATGTTGTGCTATGGCAAAGAAAAACAATGCTTTATCGTCGTCGCATTTTCAGATTTTTCCATTGTGCTTTAAACTTTTTTAGCACCAATCCATGATGACTGAGGATCAAAAGACTATTCGTGGCTGCTTTGAATTTGTCCCATTCTTCGTTACTGATTCCTTCGGTGTATTTCTGATCGTGCATTCCTCTCAATTCATCTTCGATGGATAGAAACGCTCGTATATCTTTTATCGTTTTTAGTTGATCGACGTCTATTCGTTTTATCACTTTCTTTGTGTCTTTTTGATTTGTTGCATTCGTCCGGCTGATTTTTTCACCCAAATCAAAGCTCATGTTGCTCAAAGGTAACGGTTTCATTGATATCATAGCTTTTGCTTTAACCGGAACCGTCTTTGAACTGGTTGGAAAATGTTGCTTCTTATCAAGAAGATCCAATGTATTTACATTTGCCTTTTTACCGTCGTTATCATTTTTTGAACCGGAGTGATGACTGACCAATAGTTTTGGCTCAAATTTTTGCTCAATAACTATGCCTTGACTCTCCACCGCCTCGCTGCTTTCAAACAAAAATAATTCATCATTCGATTCCAGTTGGTTTTGGTCCATCGAAATATCAATATACTCTTTGTATTCATCGCCTAACCATTTGTGCAATCGTTTCGGTAATAATTTGCTTTGGTCAAAGTTTTTCGCGTAAAATGGATAAAATGCATTGTAAAATTGCACAGCACTTTGGCACATTTTAATACAAATCGTCCATACTTCGGCCAACACGGCTATGAACAATGATATAGTTTCGATGAATGCGGCTCGATGCAACAATTCCAGAAGAAGTCGATGTGACTCACGTGCACACATTACAATGCGAATCAGTAATTTTGTAAACGATTGGAACTTTGTCAGAAAGTAGAAAAAGTTCCCGTGATCGGGCAAATAATATTTGTCGTCCAGTTTTCTAGCGGTTTTTGCCACACCAATGGCATTTTGGTAGTCTTTTAGGTCTTGATAAATGTTCAACTCTTTTATACGGCATAGAGCGATATTCATTTTTCGAAAGTACATGAAACTTGGTTGCATTCGGAATGAATGAGCGCGACGGGCTATCAAACGAGATGCCATTGCTGCAGTCTCCTCTAATTTCGGACGGAGCTCGTGAATTGTTTCACAATGGTTGAAATGATTAAGCAGAGCATCGAAATCTTGAATGAATGAATGCATGCACATAAACAGAGGTTAACAGAGGAGAGAGATTCGTTTTATAAACGGGAATATTCAAAATACTCACCTACATCACCGTTCAGTTTTTGCATTGTTGAACGCATAACTGGCTTTGGTAGATTTCTTTCTATCCATGTTTCCGTCATTTTTGTGTTCAGTTTTTAAGAGAAATCAACGGCACATCAAGATGAAAACAAACAGATCAAACTGTCAAAACTACATGTGCACATCAATCTGTCAAAAGTAATTTCATTCTCATTTCAAGGGTATGTTCCTAGGGGCAATTCACTTATAAATTGCCTTTCTATTGTTTAATAATTGTTATTGATTCTTTTTCGATTATTTCGATTATTTTCGATCATACATTAATTCTAATATGTATACTATGAGACAATGAAGAAAAAAGAATGTATGTAAAATAGAAAGAGCGACTGTGTGTCTGGGCGAGTGAGTGTGCGAGTGAGAGTAGTTCAAATGTAGTTGATTTTCCATCATCCACGAAGAAATAATTGTTTTTACTCTGATCCCTTGAAACAAAACTTTCAATAATACAGAAATATAGAAAAACAACAATACTTCGATTGTCACTTTATTTTTTTTATTGAGATAAACTATGATATTCTTAATTTGAATTAACAGCACAATATTACTATTAATGATTGGGACGCATAACGAAATGTAAATGTAACGAACGAAAAAATATATGGGATATAAACTATATCGATTTGTTTTTTATGTTTGCTTAAACTTCATCATGATGCAAACTTGATTACCCCCGTGCAAATTTGGACAGTACGATTGGCACTGTAGTTGTCTTGATGACGACGGTGCGAGGGATGAAATTGTTTTTCTGTAAAAGAGAAGGTAAATAAATTGAAATAAAAGTAACATGAAATCAGTGCAAGCGAATCAAATTTACCTTCACAAATCTCTTGAAGTTTTTGCTTTTGTTCAGCGATGTATTTTCAGATTCAGTCACTGAACCATCTGTTTCATCGGCCATTGAACGGTGTGTTAGGTTTACTTCAACTTTTCGAACTTCAAATGCTTTCTTAAATGATTTGATCCATTGCTTCTTCTGTTCTTCATCGGTCAATTCCCATTCTTCCAATTTTTCTTCTTTAATTTTAACGGAATCCGATATTGGCGTTGAGTCCGTTTGATTTGTTTCATCCAAATTCAATTCATTTTTCAATTTCATCGTGATCCAATGTGTATCGCATTTCGTCTTCGCAAATGTAATATCAACCGGTTTGATTGTACGATTGAATGAACGACTAAGTGACGGTCGAAATGGTAACTTATATGAATTTTGAGATTCAGCCACGGCCGAACCATCCACTGTATCCTTTTCATTTGATTTTTCCTGTGTGGATTTTTGTTTGGCCTGACTTTTTGGTAATGGTTTCTTTGAAAAATTAAAACCACATCCATCCTCGTCATCACTATCATCTAATGTATTTCGTTGGGCAACACGTCGTTGTGTTGTTCCAGCAGATGTAACTTTTGTTCGTTTTGATTTGCGATTAAAATTAAATGCATTGCCTCTATCATCATCTTCTTCTTCGTCGGAGTCAGCCGTTAGCATACTTATGGCTCGTTTGCGTGTCAACGCTTCGCTAGGCTCAGACGCACGCTTCGCCGAATGCTCTGACTGGTCTTGGGTGGCCTTTCGTTTACGATGTTGTGTGCTAATGAAACCAGAAAAGTTGAGATCACTCTGTGATTGGGATTGTGGCGGCAATGGTTCGACGAATACTGAAGAAGTGCTCTCACCTTGGTTTTCAACGCTATCTTGAGTTTTCTGTTTCTTCCGTGGCATACTTTGTTCACTAACAATCGTTGCGACTGTTTCTTGTTGGTCCGCTTCCGTTTCCTCTTCGTTCACGTTTTTACGTTTTGGATTCTTCTTCGGTGTCGGCACTTTCTTCGGTGTCGGCACTTTCTTCGGTGTTGGCGGCTTCTGTGGTACAACATCGGTGCCTTTTGTTGAACTTCGTGTTGATCGCCGTGATGATGATGTCATTTCAGTGGATACTTTTGACGTTGACGGTTTATTCAAATCAATTGCTTCGACATTGCGAAGATTATTGTTTGGTTCAGTGCCTGTCAAATCAACCGATTCGGGTACTACAACTGAATTCGAGTTCGATTTCTCGGTGCTAGCTGTATGTGGAGTTTCTTCGGTGAGAATCTTTTTTAAAATGTTATTTGTATCCGTCGCACTTGGCTTGAAATCAGACACCATCTTTCGATCTGGATTACAAAAGCGATCGGTGGCTCGGTGAATGATTGCTAACCCAATTTCTGATTCATTGATCAAACGTCGTTCCTTTTCGATGTATTTCTCAATTTCTTCAATGTCAGCCGAACATTGTGTGTTGGCCGTCGGTGTATACTGGACTGGAATGTATTCAGCCTTCAGCAACAATTGCTTTCGCAAATTTCCATCTTCGATACTGATGCACTGACCGCCAGCCAATTTGATAATGGACTCGAATTTTGCCATGTGCCGTTTAACCATGAACACGAACGTTTTGTTTTGGAATAATCGCTGTCGATCAAGATGCACTTCCATCATTCCAGGCTCTTTGATGATGTATGGTTCTGTGATTTCGGGAATAAATTGATTAACATCGGGCAGATCTTGTCCTTGATAGGTAACGACTTCGATATATTTTTCGAAATATTGGGGTGATACAATTGGAATTCCATGCGCCAATGATTGTAATACTTTAACCGTAACGGTGACATTTGTCATCACTAAATGTGTGCATTCGGTGCTCCATACGGATTGCAATGTACCATCGACTAATTTTAATAGCTTCTTCAATTTATCCTGATCTGCTTGAAGCATTGCCGATGTACACACTGTGAATGGTATGTTTTCAAGGCGGAATGTGTTTTCCAAACGCCCGAAACGAACAATGTGTCCCGTGCGCAAATCAACCGGTGTATTTGGATCAATGGGCTTGTTTGTGTCGACACCAGAATTAACGTATACACCATATTTCGAACCTGTATCCGCAACTCGAACGCCTGACGATGAACGATAGATCACAGCATGATCACGACTCACAGACGTATCATTGGGTAAAAACAGTTCGTTTTGTTTGGTACGACCAACACTGTATCTCTTTGAGTTCGTCAATAGATAGAACCGAGCACCTACAAAAGACAATGCATTTATTTCAAAATGGTTTCTATAGTCACAGTTTATAAAAGAAACAATACACTATAAAGATGTTTGCTTAGATTACTTTTACAAACAAAGAAAACATCAATAATGGAATTGGCATAACATTTTTGTATAAAATGTGATATTGTATAAAATTTATAGAAAAAGACAATTTTTAAACAAGTAACTTGAATTGTGACGCACAATCGTATTTGCTGCACACAAAGAACGTAAAAAAAAATATCCTTCTATTTTATTGTGAAATACCCAAATATTCGAAAAAAAATTCCACTCACCGGTTGTGATGTGAGATAAAACCCACATTTTTGTAAAAAACAACACAAATCCACTTCAATTAAATTGTTATTTACCGAAATATTGACAAAATATTAAATTCTCAACATCAGCCCAAATCTGTTGTGTTCAGCAACAAATTCATTCTTGTTGCAATAACCTGTCAAAAGCAGCGGTCTACGTATAAAAAGAGTGCGTTCAAAGATTGAAACATTCTGGCCTTAATGAGTTGATTTGACAACCTTTTAATATTATTTAGCTATATTTACTGAAAACATTCATTCATTCAACGTAAACAGAACGTGATACAACGAAACTATCACTAGTTCTCAAAAATGAATATTTTACCACATAAAAGGTGAGGAAATTATTTGAATTTTTAACTTCTTGTATGAGCATATACCAAATTTTATTTCAAATTACAGTTGGCATGTGCGAACAAAGGAGAACATCGCTCGTGTGCGAAAGGATCAAGCAAAGGCTGCTGAAGAAGAAGCTGAAAAACAACGACGCATCGCAGTTGCAGTAAGTATTTATGAAACAATAAATAAATTCAAATTTATAACACAAACTCTATTTTTAGGATTATGAAGCACGAATTAATTTATTACGGAAACGAGCGACTGAAACATCTACGGCGAACGAAAGTGAAGCAACTGCAAATCATGACGGGAAAAATGAAATTGTGTCTGCTTCCGAGCATGTTGATTTGTTTGATGACCACGAAGAAAAACAACAAAAAGTCAAACCAATGGACGAGGAGAAACGACTTGAGCAAGAAAAATATGAGAAGCAAATCGGTTATTTGACATATTTGGGACAAGATACACACGAATCACTTGGCACTCAAAGTTGGTATAATGAAGCACCAAAACGAGACCAACAAAGTTCATACGATGATAGCGGTGAAAAAATTGAAGTCGGCCTCAGAGTCAAGCACTTGCACGATCCGATGTTTCGGTTCTTGAAAAAACCAATTATTGTCGAAAGCAAATCAAGCGACAAAAATGTTCCAGTCACACAGCAAAGTGTAGAAGTAGAAAAATCAACTATTTTGGAGAAATTAAAGTCGCTGAAAAAGTCACGGTCTCCAGATGAAAAGCACAAGAAAACCAAAAGATCCAAGGTGAAAAAAGAGAAGAAAGAAAAGAAGAACAAACATAAAAAAGAGAAACGCAGGCGTAAGGATTTATCAAGCAATAATAGTGGTAGCGGTGACAGTGATAGTGAATCGGAACAATTAAGACAACATAAATTACAAATGTTACAAAAACTGAGAGAAGAACGATTGCAGCGTGAACGGGAAGAGCAAAATAGAACGAAAGAATTGCTGAGAATAAAGAATCCCACTCTGTTGCCACCTGAGGAATTGAAAAAACCAGAGGAGAAAGCAATCAACGTAGAACCACGCATGCCACCAATGAAACAAAAGTATAATTCACAATTTAATCCATATTTAGCGAAGCAAAATTACGGCAATTAAAAATATATGTATAGATTTAAATATTACATTTTATTGAAAACACAAAACATATCGATTTGTTTTAATTTATCTACACATATCTTCAATAAATTTATAGATGTTCGCCGAACCAATAATGATCGAATTTGCTGAGCCATTTGTGGCATCCGCCCATGTTATTTTGAATAATGTATTGTTTAGTAAAAGGATTCATATTTCTCTCTTTTTTTAATTCTTTTTCCTTTTCCATTGCTTCGAGCATCTCTTGTGATACGGCCATCGCTTTGAATGGCATACTCACAGCAACATGGTCTAGCATCGATTTCACCTGTAAAGAGAATTAATCATTTTTATTTTACATTTTAAATAAAATCGTTCAACGTCGCCCAATCGAATACTTACTTCACCAAATTCGCAATTGCCACCGATTTCCATGATAACACGTCCAGCCTTAACTGGTGTACAATAGTGATCAATTGCACCTTTACCACCACCTAATCGAATGCCAACACCTTTTTTATGTAACGGTTGCCACGGTTCTGCTATACGCCAAACGGCAAACATTCGTTTTAAATCCATTTTTCGACCAATACTCAAACGAGCCAATTCAATATGTGGATATTTAATACGGCCTCCTTGTAACGCAATTACACCGTACTGCTTGTGAACTAACCGTGTATTGTGTTCTTCATCTGGTCCTCGCATTAATCGCAATTTCTTTTGCATTCTTGGTGGTCGTGTGGAAATAAAGTTTGGTACTTTTAACATCATACGCAATTTTGGCTTGTTTGGTATGTCGATGCCTGTTTATGTTTTTTTTTTTTTTTAATCAATAATCATTTTACTAGTTGGCTTTGAGTCGAGTATCAAAAATATCTTACCATCGTAGACTTTTGGTGGTTTGAATTCCTTTAAACCCGCACTTTGAATGAATATTGGACTCATGGCTTTTGGAGCTAAAATTCAAATAAAATTCAATGACATTGATACATTTTTGAATAAAAAATTATATTCTTTACCCAAGCTCGAAATTTTGTTAAATGTTTTCAAAACAAACATTTTTCTCGTCCAAATCAGAAAAATATAAAAAATTAACTAAAAGTTAGGTTATGTTCAAAATGAATAGATGACAGTTTCAGATAGTGTGTAGTAGGTTTTATTTGTCTGAAGTGCAGTACTAAAAGAAGTGCTCAATTTTAGTGGAAAAATACTCCAATTTTTATTTGTTCAATATATTGTTTGAAAACAATAAAATTTATTCGCATGCTGATCGCAAATTGTGCCATTTTTCAGTAATGTATTTACGCTGCGGCCAAATGTGCTTTTCACCGATATGACACCAAAATCTGAAATGAGTTCATCATAAATAAATGAGAATATTTTGATTATTCAATTTCTCAGTTATAACTTACATTCCAAATAATGCACCACCCAAATGAGCTGCATGGTCGAAATACCTCCAACCCAAAACACAGCCAATAACATCAATTGCCATAATTACTTTAATAGCACTATCTGCAGAAAACTGGAACATGGGCAAAAACATGATTTGCAATTGTGTATCCTGAAATGAGTTGAATAAAAAAAAAGTTATGAGAATGCTTTGATTATTCCATTTCCTAGTTTCCATAACATTAGAATACTCACAGGGAATCGAGTACACACGTAACCCAAAATGCCTAAGATTGCGCCCGACTGAAAAGAAGATTTGTGTTATTGGACGGGAAGTATGAAAAAAGAGAATACTTACAGCTCCTAATGAAGCGCCACCAACTCCGGCAAAGACTTTATGAAAGTAACTAGCGAAACTGGCAACACAGCCAGCACTTAAATATAATGCTAATGTCTGCTCTCTGCCCAATGCCATGCAGATGCCATTGCAAAAGCTGTTCAGCACGTACATATTCGCAAAAATATGGAAAAACGAATAATGACTAAATACGGATAACAGCATCGACCGACAAGGAGCCACTAAAATAACACCATTGTTGAAAATTATAAATTTCCACTATTTGTCAAACTGACCAATTTAAAGTACTTACGACCAATTGGATTTGCGGAAAAATTCTTTAATAACATTGTCTGTAATCTAGGAATTCGCCATAAACCAAATACCAGCAGATTAAGTCCACAAATCGGAATAAAAAATTGATCTCCCGGTGAAAGTCGTGACCATGCTTCTTTTAATTCGCCATTAACGAAACGATTCCAGGCTCCTTTCAAATCTGAAAACTACAAAAAGCACCTTTTGTATTGAAAAGTATACCATTATACTTACATTTCTTTCTTACATTTTTCTGTTTATGTTGAAAAAATGTAACCGATGAATTCATCATCTTTTTCACTTGTGCCCGAACAAATTCATATTCCCATATTGTTGCACCGACTATAGAGGCTGTTGATACCTACATTCGAAATGGATGGTATAACATATTTACTATAATTTCTTTTGCGAATTTCATCATTTCTATGTTAATTTTACACCAACTGTTTAAACAACTTACACCAACGGTAAATATAAAAGGTCGAACTAAATATGTAATTTTCATAGGTCGTATGATTTGTTGTGCCAGTTCTTGTTCTATCCTGTCACCAGCTCGATTTTTTGAAAAAAATCGAAACGGTGTTTTGCCCCGAATTAGAGATGTTTGTACATTTTCTCGAAATATATTGCCACTACGACTTAATTGAGCAAAGTTCCTGTAATTTGCGCTAAAATAACAAGTACATTTGAATGTGTACATTTCATAAAGAAAAAATGCAATAAAATATCTTTTATGACTTACACTTGTGGCACCAACAATCGTGTCCTATAAATGAACATTTTGTTGTTTTCGTCTGCGTTTCGATAAATTTAAGCTTGAAAATATTCAATTTCAATAATACAATCGGCGATTACACATTACATTGGAACCGAATCATATGTTGTCAGTTTGACAATTTCGTTTATGTCAAAATTGTGTGTGCTCAATGTTGCTCAGCTGTGTTGGGCTCATTTCTATTGAAAATTCAATCAGGAGAGAAAGAGAGCACTGCATGATGTATTCGAAATCAAGTGAAGAGTAGAGTAAGATGAGTGCTTGACATAATTATTCTCACAGACGATTGTAATGAACAAAGCAACAATAAACAAAATTATTACTTCATCAGAATGCAACCACAAACATGGAGTACACAAATGGATTCAATTCAATGGTAAACTGTGTGTGAAATAAAATTTAAAACGGTATGGCCATTAAGTTAAATTACAAATTTCAATGGAAAAATGTGAAAAAAGTATTAAATTTCACTTTATTGCTAGCATAGAGTGACGAAATTGCGGACAATTGAAACAAATGTGAATTGAAATGGAAGGGGAGAGATTTTCGTGGTTTGCAAAGAATTATTTGAGAAAAAGACCAAGACTTTCACCCACATCATTTCCAGACGACCAAATGGCATCCACGTCATCATGCATGCCTTCAACATCCACCACATCAAATCAAAGACCACGAATACAACGAATTTTAATCGAACCAAGCGATGAACAACTGTTAAAATGGCAAGAGAGACAAATATCCGAATGTATTGTTGAAAATACAGTCAATCAAATGGTTGAATCCTATTTAACATTTATCGAAGGTGAAAATGCGAATAGTGGAACAAGAAATGAACTGGACAGGGAAGCACATATTGCATCGTATAATGCATACAGAGCTCAGGAAAATTTTGAAGACTCAGCAATTGTTTGGGCAATTGATCAATATGGATTACAGCAGCATCATCAATCATTTTTCAATGATAATCGCAACGAATGCATGTCCACATCATCGTCATCAATATCACTTTCATCGCCACCTCATCTACAAACACAAGATGATTTGTGTTTCTTTGGCATTGCAAACGATAAAGATGTAACGAACGTTGGTACACAAACTGAGAAGAATATTGAAGAGAATGACGATATTCAAGTGAATGTTTATCAGAAATCTGTAGCGCCTAATGCAAAAGAGCAAAATGACGAAAATTCTTCGGTTGAACCGCAACAATCTGCAGGTGAAGAAGCAATAAATGATGAACATTTTGATTTTATGGAGGCATGTATGGAGGCGGCCGTTGCCGTTGCAATTCAGGAAAAAGGACTCACATCATCATATACGATGCAAAAATCACCAAAAAGATAGTACAAAAGACGGCCGCACACACATTTTCTTCTTCGCTCAGTTTTTGAAAAATAAAGTATTGAAATATCTGTACGTATCTGTAATAGATTTAAGCAATTAGTTCGCAAACAATCATTTTTAAACATTTAGGCATTAGATTTTATTTGTGTGATTTTCTCTTGATGAAAATAAAAAAAAAACCATTTCAATCGAAACGTTTCTGTGTCACGCATTTCCAATTGGTTTTCAAGTTCGGGTGAGCTCTGTTTACGTTTCGATTGTTCTCTTTCTTTTATTTAAATTTTTAGCTCAAATGTCATAATCTAGTACGTTCGAAAAACGAATCGATCATCTGGAACAAATGTATAGGCTACGCTCAAATGTCATTCGTCATTGTCATTTGGTTAAACAATCTATCGTCTCGTCTATAAAGAAAATTTATTCGTATAAACACATCATTATCGAATCCAAATCGAACTTTTTTTTAGTGTTCTCTTTTTTTTTACTTTCGTTTAAAAACACACTATCGTACATCGACGAAAAATTAAAATCAATCAAATTACGCGTATTCATCTTTTACACTCGCTAGCTGTGTAGATATCAACATGGTAAGCTATTAATCGCGGTGTTTGTGTATAAATACAAAGACTTTTTTTGTTTTGTGTTCGACGTCGACAACATGTCCGAATGGTATTTTCCATTGGAATGAAGATCTACTTCCGAAGTATTTTTCATCACAACAAATATTTCTGTGTAAGACTTCAACTGAGATTCTGATGTTATTTCGCAATTTCTTTCATTTTAGTTTCATTTCAATGGTTTTCAAATGATGTTTCCCGAGTCTCGGCCGTTCAACAATTCGTATAGATGTTATTCGGTATCGATGCTGCCGGGCAATGAGCGTCAAGACGTTGAAAAGGGTGGCAAAAGTGAGTAATACCTTTACTTTAATCATTGGAATTCAAACAATTAATCGCATTGTCCCCCTCCCTGTCTCTCTCTGTCTGTCTGTATATAGTTATTATGCCACCATCAGCGCTAGATCAACTGACTCGATTGAATGTTGTCTATCCAATGTTGTTCAAATTGACAAACAGCAAGAAAAGTCGCATCACACATGCTGGTGTATTGGAATTTGTGGCCGATGAAGGCAAAATTTATATACCATACTGGGTGAGATCCTATTTTCATTTGTTTTCATCATTTGAAATGCATTCTATCAATCTGATCGATACATTTAATTTGCAGATGATGCACAATTTACTGTTAGAAGAGGGTGATATTGTTCAAATCGAAAGCGTTTCACTTCCAGTCGCCACATTTTCAAAGTTCAAGCCACAGAGTCCGGATTTCTTGGAGATAACAAATCAAAAAGCGGTTCTAGAAAATGCATTGCGAAATTTTGCATGTCTGACCACTGGCGATCTAGTGGCCATCAAATATAATTCAAAAATCTACGAATTATGCGTACTCGAAACAAAACCCGGCAATGCCGTCAGCATCATTGAATGTGATATGAATGTAAGTCAATTGAACAATTCAATTTTAATTTTTCGTATGACATGCTAAATTATTGTCGAATTTACAGGTGGAATTCGATACACCAGTTGGCTGGGAAGAACCAAAACGTGTACCGAAAAAAACGGAAGCTGATGAAGACGCTGAGGCAAATGAACTATTACAAAATCACTACGACACAAGCACATTTGTGGCATTTTCTGGCGAAGGCAATCGTTTGGATGGAAAGAAAAAGAAATGTGAAAAGCCAGAAGCACCAACTGGATCACGGGTAAATTTCAATATGGCTATATCAATGGATTGGCACTGAATTTGTTTTTATTTTGCAGACATATGTTCGTGGAATTCCCGATTACAATCATCCATACGGTTTAATTCGATTCGATAGATCCGTAAAACCAATCAGCGACAGAACTGAAGAACCAAAATCCAATGGAAATGATGACAATGATGATGGCTTCAAGGCCTTTCAAGGTGAAGGATTCTCTCTACGAAAGAGCAGGAAATGATGATATTCATAAGATTTTGGGGTCGAAGCAAAACAATGATTTTGACAAATACAAAAAATGTAATGGTATCTTTTACAATTTGATTAAATTATTGTTTATTAATATTATGCTCTACTTCAGTTGTATAAAACCTGAGTTATTTTGTGAAAGAAAATAAATTAAGAATATAAATCGATGATTAAGTTGGATAAAGATTTTTTTTTTGTCTATATAACAACGTTTTTGAACTAATGGTAATGGTTACAATCACATTTTCAATTATCAAAATGTTCAACAAAAACAAATCACTTACAAATTGGCACCACAAATGACGTTTACATATTGACCAATGGGTTCTTTAAATGTTTTGAATTGAATTTTCTTATTTTTGCCAAAGTATGATTGTTGTTTCATTAAGTAGAATGGATCAATAAAAATATTCAAATGTTTCCGTCTTTTGGTACACCAAGTGTCATATTGTTCATGATCTGGCATAATAAAAAGTCCTTTAACGTTGCACAAATACAAGTTCTCCAGCTGAGTTCCTTTTACAACGAAAAATTCTAAGTCGTCAACGTCACGTACAGTTGTATAGTCCAAATACAAATTTTTGACTGTATTCCATTGTGTTTTAAGCGCTGCGCTCAATGTTTTTTGATCGACTTTTGGTTTGATTTCACGAAGTTCCAGCGTCACAATGTTGGTTAATTTGGGTAGTGTCGAAATGTCATCAAACTCCAAATTCCACAAGCCGAGTACATTCAATGATTTCTTTTTTGCTAAAATTTCAACAAGCTCATCAATGGGTTTATTATATGCTTGACAGTTAATAACAATGCGTTGTAGCTTGATCAAATCCTTAAATATCGGTTGATATTTGGTGGTTTTATTCAATTCGATGGAAAGTTCTACTAAATCTGATAAGAAGTCTATGGTTTGCATTTTGGTCCAAGGACACCAAGATCGTTTTATTGGATGCAATATATTTGGTGTGTAGCAAAAGTATTTGACTGTTTGGTTTTTGCGCAAAAATTGGTTGAGTATTTCTTCTTCGTCGAGATGAGCTGAAATAATCTGTAGTTTTTCCATATATGGCCATCGGTTATTCAAACATTTCAAATCGATAACTTGTTCTTGTCCAATGAACGTGAACTCTTTTAAGAAGTGGGCTTCCTTCAAGAATACGTTGTAATTTATACCACGCGCTGTGGCAATGGTACAATAGAACATTTCCATTGATTCCAAACGTTGAATTAGCGTTTTCATGATGTTGATGTCTGCCTTTTCAAAATGCAGACAAACCAATCTTAGCTTCGTCAGTTTGGTACAGTGTTCGTTTAACAGCGTAAGAAGCGATGTGTTCAAGTCCCATACAAATGATCCATCGATTGTTACACCCTTAATTGTTGAGCCAAAACATCGTAAGATATGCGCTATTTGTTGAAAATTTTCAATCAAATTGTCACACCTAATTTGACCACCGGATCGCCGTTTGAATGCTTTGTTGGCCAGAATTCGAAATTTTTGGCAAACACCTTTCATTACACACAGTTCATTGAGCGGAAGATATAGCATCGAATTCAAAAGAAATTTGTCTCCCAAATCGTTGAGACTTAGCTCTTTTCGTGACATTGTGCTCTTACTGCGTTCGCCTGTAAATCATTGAATTTGACTGTACTTAGTTCAATTCACTTTGCAAATGCCAAATACTATTGAGAAATTATTTGTCTATTTGTCTAACCTTTGAAAAAAAAATGTCGAGAAACTTTTGGTGTTTATGGTTAATATATTTTGGGTTTTTGATTGAAAAAATTCCGTTTGGCGAATATTTGTTCACTTCTTTCTTTCTTGCATACATCAATCCGTTACTTGCGCCAAACGAAAAAAAAAATCTGATTAGAAGTGTGACCACATCGATGTTATTGGCGTCGTGCATTTTATTTTTTACGTATTCATGCATAGTGTAACGCTACTACTATGTTTAGAAATAAGATTTATTGAAGTTTTTTTTAAATCAAGCAAAGTAAACTATTTTGAACAAAAAAGGCATTTGTAAACAACATGCTTTCCTTTTAAATTTTTTCAACTGAAATACGATTTGTATTTGGACAGTTCCACTGTGGAAAATGCCTCGGAAAAATAAACATGATAAAATACTAAATAGGTACACAGTTTGTCATTAAGATAATGAGCAATTCGAAAAAAATTATTTAGAGAGCGAATGATTCGTCATTAAATGGTTTTAATTTGAAAAAGTGTTTGGTTCTTTTTACATTCATTGAGACTAACGACCTTTTTGAGCATCATTGTTAAGTATTCTAGTACGTTTTTCCACATAAAACTAGTCTCGAATTTGCTTCGGTTGTTTATTATTGAAAACTTAGCCATTTTCCGATAATTTGCGCATTTTCCCTTTCCATATGAATTGTTTAATGAAAATAATTGATATTTTTTCGTTTGAATAATTTTTTTTGATCATTAAATATTTAAAACACAATTTCATCATACGAACAAAATATACGTAATGTTCAAATGACGTTTGTTAAAAATACGAAATGCCATGCTTTGTACGGTCTTTGTCTAACGTAATCTAGATGTTTCGATGAGCGGTAGAGACAACTGTGTTTCGTTGTGAATATACAGCTGAGTTCGCCATTGTTCATCATTAATCGTCTACAAGTCGAAGTGAACAGTTCAAGAAGAAAAAAGTGCTCAAGCCAAAACTTTCTATCAACGCTATAATTTATTTTGCTGAAGAAATCCATTGAAAATGTAAGTAAATCGGTTGAATCATTGAATCGGAAGATCGTAGATTAATCGCGGGATTTTTTTATCGGTATTTTCGTCGCGTACAAAAAAAATAATCGAAAAAAGTGAATCGAATGTAATCATGGCCGTCGCTAGTAATTTATACCGTTTCATTAGCCTTCTCGAAATTTCAATTGCGTCGCTTGTCCTATTTTTCGCGTAGCATTTTCCAATTCCCAATCAGTTTTCCGCGTTCTCGTTATTCATTTTCATTTTTATGATTGCTTCTGTCGGCCATATTACAAATGCTGTGAAATTCGTCGTAAAAAAAAATTGATGTCTTCGTTCAAAGTACAAAGTGCATTCTATCGCCTATCATCAATTTTTCGAACGGTTTTTTTTTTCTCTGGAAAAAATGTATCTCTGTTCGGGTATAAAGTGAATCGACAAACGACCTCGTTCGATATGCGCTTGATTTTTTTAGACGCTTATTCAATTTGCCAACTTTGAAAAACAAATGAGTCATCGTCATTTATATTTAGATCAAGCTTGATTCCATGCGGATGACGCACTGCAAAATCAAATTCTTTAAACGAGATTGTTTTCGATTTAATGCCATTTGTTGGCAAACGAAATAATTTCAATTTCTGTTTTATCAAGTCAAAAACCTGGAAATTCACTCGGAAATCTTTTTTTTGGTTTGATTTTCCATTGTGAGGATGACAAAGACAATTTACAGACATGAACGTACGTGTTTTCAATGTTCATTTTTTTTGTTCGTCGTCACAGTCATATGAATCTCCCTCTTGTATTTGTGCTCTTTGTGTTTTCTCCGTTCACTTGCAACTCGTTTAGCGCAGCGTCGTATGCGAAAGAAAGAGAGCACGATATGTGACAAACTGCACTCATTTCCATGGCTGCTGTTTGCTTTGAATTCATTACAAGTTTGTCTTTTGTCGAGTACGCATCAAAACGAAAAAACTTTTGAGCAATTTTATTTTCTCCAGAAAATTGTGTTGAAAAGCAGTTAATTCAATTAAATTTATTCGGTTAAAACGTTTAGCATAACTGTAAGTGAATTCGTCAACATTTTCAACGATTAATCATACGGAAAAGCATTCGATAATTTTATTCATTTGTTACTTCGATTCAAACAAAAGTTGGCTGACGCCTTTCGCCATTTGCATTTTTTTTTTCTTTGTTCAATTAGACTTTCTCTGAATTATTCAAGCCGAATTATCGAAAATCAATGATTATTCAAATTATTTCAAAAAAAAATATTTTGTTTTCTTCATTTTTGGCCAAAAAAGATTTTTTTAATTTTTTTTCTCATTCAGACGCCATTTTGATTTTTTCTCTCAATTACATTACATGACTTGCATTAAACATCTGATGTGCTTCACACACACTCATAGAGTTTGTTTTCAGCGGAGTTTAGTAGCGAGAAACACACGAACAACCAACGATTTCTTTGTTTTTGTTTCTTTTGAATTAAATCACATATAGTAACGAATTATCGACGCATTCTCACATAAATTCTTGGTCGGGTTAATAGTTAGTTTACAAACGCAGAATCGCATTCAATTTTCATAATATAGTAACATTTTTGGTGCATTTTTTTTATGTTTTCGTTTTTTTTATTTGTCAATTTAGATTCAACATGCAAATTTTCGTCAAAACATTGACTGGTAAAACCATTACCTTGGAAGTCGAACCATCCGATACCATTGAAAACGTAAAGGCCAAGATCCAAGACAAGGAGGGAATCCCACCAGACCAACAACGTTTAATTTTCGCTGGCAAGCAGCTCGAAGATGGTCGTACATTGAGTGACTACAACATCCAGAAAGAGAGTACTTTGCATTTGGTCTTGCGTCTCCGTGGTGGTATGCAAATTTTCGTCAAAACATTGACTGGTAAGACCATCACTTTGGAAGTTGAACCATCCGACACCATCGAAAATGTTAAAGCCAAAATCCAGGATAAAGAAGGTAAATGACATACATGACATTTTTCTTGGCGATTTACATGCATTTTGTTACAAGTTTTTAATTATTGTTTAATTATTAATTTAGGTATCCCACCAGATCAACAACGTTTAATTTTCGCCGGCAAGCAGCTCGAAGACGGTCGCACATTGAGCGACTACAACATCCAAAAAGAGAGTACTTTGCATTTGGTCTTGCGTCTCCGTGGTGGAATGCAAATTTTCGTCAAGACTTTGACTGGAAAAACCATTACTTTGGAAGTCGAACCATCCGACACCATTGAAAATGTCAAGGCCAAGATCCAAGACAAGGAGGGAATCCCACCGGACCAACAACGTTTAATTTTCGCCGGTAAACAACTCGAGGATGGTCGTACATTGAGCGACTACAATATTCAAAAAGAAAGTACTTTGCATTTGGTCTTGCGTCTCCGTGGTGGTATGCAAATTTTTGTCAAAACATTGACTGGTAAAACCATCACTTTGGAAGTCGAACCATCCGACACCATCGAAAACGTTAAGGCCAAGATCCAAGACAAGGAGGGAATTCCACCAGACCAACAGCGTTTGATTTTCGCTGGTAAACAGCTCGAAGACGGTCGCACATTGAGCGACTACAACATCCAAAAAGAGAGTACTCTACATTTGGTCTTGCGTCTCCGTGGTGGTATGCAAATTTTCGTCAAGACTTTGACTGGAAAAACCATCACTTTGGAAGTCGAACCATCGGACACCATTGAAAATGTAAAGGCCAAGATCCAAGACAAGGAGGGAATTCCACCAGACCAACAGCGTTTGATTTTCGCGGGTAAACAGCTCGAAGACGGTCGCACATTGAGCGACTACAACATCCAAAAAGAGAGTACTTTGCATTTGGTCTTGCGTCTCCGTGGTGGTATGCAAATTTTCGTCAAAACATTGACTGGTAAAACCATCACTTTGGAAGTTGAACCATCGGACACCATCGAAAATGTCAAGGCCAAAATCCAGGACAAAGAAGGTAAATGACATACATGACATTTTTGTTGGCGATTTACATGCCCTTTGTTAAATTTTTTTAATTATTGTTTAATTATTTATTTAGGTATCCCACCAGATCAACAACGTTTGATTTTCGCGGGTAAACAGCTCGAAGACGGTCGCACATTGAGCGACTACAACATCCAAAAAGAGAGTACTCTACATTTGGTCTTGCGTCTACGTGGTGGAGGAAAACCTTCTCGAAAAGGCACCCGATCTGGTAAAAAAGATGCATTGCCTGTATCTTGTGGTTCATCTGGGGGTACTTCATCTCAATGTTCATCTGGTTCTGGTGGTTCAATAGATAACATTCCTGCACAAGCGGTTGATCCCTCTAGTGAGAACGAAGAAACAAAATATATCGATAAAACGGTTGAAGGCTTCGACGATAATTGCAAAAATAAAATAATAAGGGGTTTTGCTAAAATTATGTTTGACGTTGGTGCGACTCCGAAAACTGAACTCGATAGGGCCTTTGCGGCCAGTGAGGCACGTATGAAAGAATTTACGAATAACAGAAACGCTGCTCTGTTAGAAAAAATTACGGAATTGGTGGGACCTTCTGTCAACAAAGCTAAAAATGATTTGGCCCTATTTACCGAAATTCAAGCACTCGTAAACCTATCGGAAGTCCACACGAGCCAAGTCCAACAAAATAACGACAATTCGCCGTCAACTTAATGTCGTACATTGAACGACTACAACATCCAAAAGAAAGTACTTTGAATTTGGTCTTTCATCTCCGCGGATGAAACATTCAGTTTAATAAATTTCTCGAGCAAAAAATAATTAAAGTGCTTCGCAAACACTATATTCGTGTCAAAAAACATTGTAATTGATTATTCTGATTGTTACCAAATTCAAAAAATGTGCTGCAAATTAAAAATTCCAAGAGAAAAAAACACAGTCTATTATTTATTTAAAAAAAAAATATTTTTCTTTATTTCAGAATTTTGAAATATACTTGATAAAAATGAATAGGTTTGTTACATTTTCCATTGAAAGTTTTAATTTGAAACTCATGATCGTTCAAATTGCAAAATTTAATTACTATTGGAGCATTAAATTAGGACAAAAGCCTTAATATCTGGTTAAAACAGCCAAAATTCAATATTTGCACCATCTGATTTGAATTATGGCCACATAAATTCAGTTGGCGTTGTATGTTTTTTTTATTTTGACGTCTTTGTGATAGTCCCTAACCTCAATAGCATACATTGTTGAACAATAACTGAACAAAATATTTTATTATTTTGCGTAAAAGTGTAATTAAAACAATGGCAACAAAATTGCTTCGCCTGCGAACGCAATTCTCGCAATCCTATACCACGAACAGTTCGTTGCTGAAAACAAAGTTTGATGCCGTGCAAAATAGAATAAACAATTTTCAAGTACCCGATCGTTTCAAAGGAACAATGGTTGAGAAATGGATGTTATATTGGAAAGGGCTTGTTTCAGATTATCGTGATGTTTTTATGGACGTTATCAAACAAGCAAAGGAGAAACCGATTCGGGCAGCAATTTACGGTGGATTGGGTGCGTCAACAGTGTACAGTTTCAAGCATAACCCCAGTGAAAGCGATCATATTGAACAGCTTCGAACATACAATACCAAAATGGTGTTGGTGGATCCAGTTTGTCAAAATAAAGTCTCATCGCAATATCTCACATTTGTGGAACGATGTCACAACGAAGGCATTGTCCGTCGATTGAATTTGGGCATTGTTTCATTGCTGTGGCTGGACAATTACGATCGAGCATTAGGTTTATACAAGGCAACCTGTTCATTTACACGACCCGAGCTTATTACATGGCACCAAAGAATCATTGACGTAGGCTTCTTGGATAAATGGTGGAAAATCGAGGAGAAAATGATAGATTATGATATTAATGAAAATACTTTGTAGAAAAATCGCTTCAAAACATATAAATGTTGGTTTTAGAAAACCACTGCATTCTGTGCTAAGTTACATGTGAAAAGAATAAATAAGTTTAAAGGCATAAATGTCATTGAATGCTTCATGAATCAAAGGTGTTTGTCTTTGTATTTTTTCAATTGTTTTCTATTTTCAGTTTTCATTTAGCATTTGAAAATTGAGTAATTGATTCATAACCAAACTTTTGCCAGAAATGACATTTCACTTCACAACGAATTTTATGATGACACTTTGACAGCAGCCAAATAAAACATGCTTGTTTGAGACTGTTCACATAATTCGATTTAAATTCGGTATATTTGGCAGTTAAATTAACGAAGGAAAAAGGAAAACAGCAGTATATTGTCGGGCATTGTAAAATGGATAAGAGTAAAAAGTCGATCAAAAAGTTTCCCAACACAAAAAATGACAAAAAAGCTCAAATCAATAACGAGGTAAGACGATTGAACTATGGATTATTGCACGGTCGACAAAAGTTCCTTCCGCTCAATTCGGAATTGTTATTAATGTATCATTCAAATTACAGATCATTCAACTGCAAGGAAAATTTAAGCAGGCCAAGATTGTTACAATTCGCAAAATTGTGAATAAATTGAAACAGCCCGAAAAAAATTCAAAGCAAAATCGAGTTGGCAAACTGGAACGATATCAAAATGTTCTCAATCAACTGAAAGTAAGATTCAAATTATCTATGTGATAGATTGTAATTTAACTAATTCGATTTCTTTCCATTCCCCATTTGTTTTGTTCATTTAGACCATGTCACCGAAGCGATTGGGTGTTTTAGCATTGCTCTATTACAAAACTGGAAAGAATTATTTGGCAGATCAAAATTCAACGGTTGAACAGTTGGCTGTTGGTTACTTTTGCGAACACAAAGCCGTTGGTGTAACATTGGATGCAATTCGAAATAAATTGAAATTGGCCGAATCGTCTGAATGGAGGAAATTGGTTAAGAAGCTGTTTAAGAAGAAAGAAAAATCAGAAAACGTCGAAAAAATGGAAAAGAAAACTTCGTTCATTGAAAGTGATGCAACTGATACGAGTGCCATTGAGAAAAGTAAAAATAAAAAGGCCAAGCAAAACGTAGAGACAAAAGGTAAACAAGAAAAGTCGACAAAACTACAGAAGAAGCGAAAGGAATCGGCTGCGCAGCCAGATGAACCAAGTGAAAGTGATGCAGAGACAGAGGTTAAAACGAACGAAATGAATGCTTCAGAGGCACCGACAACTGTTGACGACTTTTTCATAACAGCCGATGGTAAAAACTATTTATCGAATGCCGTTGTAACTCGAAAACAAGAAGAAGACACAGTTGACGACGATGCCAATTCCCACCTTGGCAAAGGCTTTGAAAAGAAACCGAGAGAAGCATCATTCTTCCATAAGAGCGACAAAAAACCTGTGAAACTTGCCACAAATCGATTTGAAGGCTTAAAACGAAAGTGGCCCAATGAAATTGAAGAGATAGTTCATAAGATAAAAGAAGCAAAAGTAGATACACAGCTACATCCATCTTGGCAAGCGAAACAAAAACTCAAACCGACCATTACCGAATTTAAGGGAACCAAAATTACATTCGATTAAAATCATTCATAATTTTCCTTGTGAATCGTATATTTTTATTCAAATAAATTAGATATGAAAAACATATTTGTTTGTTTCGATGGTCAATAGATTTCTGTTTACAGCATGTGTTCTCAACTGTCAAAACGATGCACGGACCTGTCAACGGTGAATTGTCATATTTTCATGTTCTCACAAAGTTGATGGGAATTCCATCATAATTCATTGGAAAATGTCTTCGATTCAAGGTATTTTGAATCGGTCAAAAGACATTCGGCTTTTGTGCAGTCGCCTTACAAATCTCAACATTACAAAAAATATTGTCCACAACAATTTTTTATGGTGAGTTACCGAATGAAAGGTGTTTTTTTTTCGGAAAATTACTTCAAGACACAATGTTGAGGTTATGTTTCCATCGTTCAAAACTCTGTATTTTCATTTTTTTCTATTTTTCTTGTATTTTAGTCCACAAAATGGGAATCAATTGAGTTTATTGACGGCCAATTTCCATACCACTATTCAGCGATATGATTTAATGGAGTTTTTCGATGACAAAAAAAACTGGGGCGCAAATGAAGTGCGAAGTGGAAGAAGTTGGCGTTTGGACGAATTGCGGATCAAATCGAACTCGGATCTACATAAACTGTGGTATGTTTTATTGAAAGAGAAAAACATGCTGCTCACAATGGAACACGAAGCCGATGAGAAATTTGAGCTATTCCCCAGTCCGGAACGCATTGACAAAGTCGAAGAATCAATGGAAAATATTGAAACAGTTGTTCGTGAACGGAATAGAGCATACCATTTATTGGAAACTGGTCAAGATGGCGAGCGTCCAGCTCGTGTGGAAACTAACCAACTCGGTTTGCGATATTTTTACAGGTAACATTTTGAATAATTTTCAATTTGGTATAGTTACATAAAAACCAATACATTTTCTTTTATTATAGGACACGGGAGTATTTCATTCCACAAAAATATAGCAGAAAAAAACGTTTCTTCAATCCATATCGTGTGGATAGAGACGTTAGTACTTTCTTGAGATTCTATCGTGAAAGACTCGCCAAAATGAAATACAGAGCGAAAAAGTAAGTCATGATAAGCATTGCTGGTGTCATATACATTTTATTCATTTGTGATTTTCTTCTTTTTTTAGTCGCGATAAAAATTATGTCACCAAGTTACTGTCTCGTTACCCCAATTTGGACCGAAAACTTGTTCAACGCGAATATCCATATGTTGACGTCAAAGCAATCGATTACAAAGACAAATCCCGTGGTCATTTTGCACCAAAGATTGATTGAAACCATCATTTGTGCTTTAAATCAAGCAATTTGAATTTAAGCATTTAGATTTGCACATCATCAGATTTGCAGATTTAGATTAGAAATAAAGAAAAATGTTGATAAACAACTATTGTATGAGTGTGTTTTTCATAAAATGGTTTTTAATTCAGTAAGCCATTTGAGATAATAGTGACGCACTTCAAAGTGCGTGTTAGGCCAATTGGTTGGTATAAAATAGATAAAGAGAAACTATAAAAATGTATTCGCATTGGTAAATCATTTGGTATCTTTGTAATCGCAGGTGTTCAGAATATTTATTCAAAACAATGATATGGTTTTGGTTTATTTGTTATCAAATCGATCACGTAATGACCGTGGTGATATACCACGTAGGTCTTATCGTTTGAAGTGGACCCTTGTCTTGAAGTGATTAAAAATTATGAAGTATTTCTTCTTCAAAATATTGCACACTTTTATCTTTATTTTAATCGCACCCCTTCAAACGAAAAATAGAACCAATCGACATTCCTGAGACGTGCTTACAGCCATGTTTGCACTATTCATGCACTTAAGAAATGTGTAAAAGTTGTAACATTTCCGATGCAAATCTGAGTATTATGCAGATTATACTATATTTTCATAAATATATTTCGTTCATATCGTGCTAATGACAGCCAAATTAAAAATTTTACGGTCGTTTTTATATCAGCACTTGAAATTTGTGAATCCCATTGTTCAATGCGTATATTTTTATAATTTCAATTTACGCGCGCCACTACCACATGCAGAATGCATGCATACTCACTAGAGTATATAGTAAGAGCGAACAAACACATTATCGCCAACCTAATAGGTTATACTGTTGAGAGATTGACAACAACGCATCGAGTATAAGGTCAGTTGTGTGTTATATGTCAGTCGTAAATTGTAGCGCCATACGAACGGACGGCATTTGTGCGCTTCAGTTGTACCGAATCGTGTTGTGTGCATCAAAACGACGTCTGAATTTTGTTCATTATTATTGTTATTATTTTCTTTCGTAATATCATTTATTTTCTTTAGTTTCTAATTTTCGGTTTAATTTCTTTTTATTTTTCGTTTGTGACCATTTTCATCGTTTAATTCCACGTATCATTTTGGAAGAGTTTTTTTTTGTTTTGATTTTATTTGTATGACCCATCGTAATGTCAGATATGGTTTTGCGTCTTTGGCATTGAAATGAAATATAGTATTTGAAAAATACAAATCAATCATTGGAACATTTAATGGAAATTAAAAAAAAAATAATTAGCATAGTCAGTAAAAAGTAACACGAGAATAATTTCAAGTGCCTGACGGAAATTATTGGAAGTACGGTGATATGTAAATGTCATATAACATTCTAAGAATTGATTATAAAACGTAATTTAAACGGGATTGGTGCGAACGAGACAAAGAAACACATCCTGAAATCATGTAAGTAATGTATCATTTTATCAGCTGAACATAATTGATGTTGCCTGCATGTTTTTCCGTTTGACGTAAGCAGATTTTGTTTTTAAATTATTTCACAATGCATTCGCTGCATTACTCATGAAATGCAGTATTCTTAGTACATTGTTCATTAATTAAGGTATTCCAGAAGAATTGGCCAATATTTACCCAATACTTACTTTACTCTCATTTCATGACAGATGAACAAAAAGTGAACAAATGACAAATTCAATACAATAAATTCATCAATATTCATTTGTGTGGTGGTATATTTCTCACAAAACAAAATGTCACATACATTCTGTCAGCTAATTTTCATTTAGTAATTCAATGCCAAACACACGTAAATTATTTTGTTAACCAATTCTTGAGAATTATGTATGTGTGATAACCCAACGATCCGGAAAGTAGAAATGTTAAAGTGATGCGCAAATTTGATCAATTTACACGCGAAATTGCAAAAAAATTATAATAATTATGAGAATTGAAAAAAACCGCAAACATTGATGTTCTTTGTTTCAAAGCAATAATAAGAGCAAATGTTGTACGTTTGGTTTTCATTCTTCTCTGTCGATAAGTATCGCTCTCTTACCAACCTTTTTTCACCAGAGGTATTGAACTCATCACGCACTTTGTACTATGCTTCATTGTTGATGAAACTCAATGGCAGTTAAATAAAAACCAGTTATTACAAACTCAACATTACATTTTCAATTTCACAATCTGATTCGATTGAATGATATTTTTAGCTGTCAAAAAGCGTCAAAAGTGTTGTCATTTTCACGTGATGGCCCGACTCTCGTTTTATTTATTGATTCGCAAACATGACCAAATGCAAATTACACCGAGTAATTCGATCTTTTGCAAGCGACCATACAGTTGTGTGGTGTTTTCAACGAAATGAAAATCCATTTTTCCATATATTTTGAACGTTTTGTGCAAGCATTTGGACCAAACACAATCAAGTAGAAATATTACTTACTCATGTGAATCGTGACTTGATTCTGAATTGTGATGACTAAATATTACTACAAATACAATGCACAAATAAATGGGGGTTGGACTTTAATTTAAAATTCTATGCAACTGATTATTATCAATTCTGAAAAACTGATTTATCATTCGCAATAAAAGTCCGAAAGTCCCCTTTGAGGCATGAGAAACGAAGAACAAAATGAATTGTGAAGGGTAATTCACCGGCGATGAATCACTATATTAAATTACTAAAGCTAAAATTACTTCATCAGAGAGGTTATTTTCATTTTTCTTTTGTTCGATGGTCGTATTCAAATGCATATTCACAGCGCTTGTGTTTGTCGTTATCAATTCCGTTGAAAGGTATTTTGTCATAAATCTCTTCGAATCCGGTCCTATGTCATGGATGAAGATACCGTGTAATTATAATCAAGCAATACCAATTTTGCGCAATTTTATTACAAACATATCTAAACATCGACAATAAAACCGAATTCAATTTGACAAAAAACGGTAAACGGACAATGGAAGAGCTACTACAGAAGTACTTTTTTTCAATGATTCTCAAAATAACATAAAAAAAAGTCTTGCTATTGTTATCAGTCGTCAACAGCGAACACTTTAGAATCATGTGAAATTGGAACACGAGCCCAAATGCGGTATGACGTAAATGAGACTGATTTTGTAAAAACTTTGAATGAAATTTTGTTTGAACAGTGGTTTCGTTTATGGCTTGAACAAAGATTAACAAATCTGATTAAATAAATGTCACCTGTAAACAGTATGGATTTGCGTTCATTATTTTTATTACAAAACATGAAATAAATTATTGAACCCATAAGGTGTATATATAGAGCGCGAGAGTCACAGGATGGAAAACCACTTGAATTTTGCAATAACATTAAGACGTTTGGTTTTGAATTTCTTTTAACAGCTGTGCGAATTTTCACAAATTACTTCAAAGAATTATGAAAGTGCTTTATATTCAAGTTAGACATTAAACACAAAAAATTTCTATTCCAGTTGAAGGGACACTTTTCAAATCTAACAAATAAGATGGAATGATAATAAATATAAATGAAGATAAGAATGACGCTTTTTTTAAATAAAAAGAACGATCGATGAAAACAAAATGACCAGAAGTGTGGCAAATAAATTATAAATTCCACGATTGTTAAACTATCATTATCAAAGATCCATCATTTTGATCGACATGAAAAATAATGTTCAAATAATACGCGTACTTGTGATCAAAAGATGATTAAATTGAAAACCAAAAAAAAAAAACAGGTAGACATTGCGCTGAGATACTTTCAGCCAAACAAAATGTCTCCACAGGCGCTATCAGTATGAAACTCAGACAGAGAAATAAGTTGATAAATTAATTTCATTCACTTTCGTACTACACTTAATCGCACCTGAGCCAAGTTCCACTTGGCTGAGAATATCTTGATACAATGTCCGTAAAAATCCAATTTGATGAAACACATAACTTGAAGTTCATTTTAATTATTTCGTGAAATCGCTTATGAACCTAACCATTATAATGTATATCTATTAAAAAATGCGGTAATTCACTTCACAAAGATGAATAGCTCATAAAAGAACACAATGAATTTTAAGTATATCTGATGTAATTGAGCTATAAAGTTATTCATTTTCAAACTTTTGAACTATCGCTCAAAACACGAGTAAACTTTTTTCTTGCTTACTATAGAATCGGAATATAAGTAAATATTTGCGAATATTTAAACAGTTAAACAACAGTCAGACAAAGATCAAAAGTATTTAAAAGTTGATTGCACTTTCACGCAAATGAATGTTTCGTGATATTTTGTTTGAGCAGGACTATATTAGTTTCTCATTCACTCTCGCTTGTTCGATCACTGTTATCGATTATAAATAGCGTTTCAGCAGAAAAAAAGAAATGTGTATATTTCCTATCAAGGTTATTCCACTACACATAAACACAAACATTTCATCTTGAAACTGGCATGCATGGTTACAATGTTACTGCTGAATTATGATCAACATTGATAACTAGTTTTTTTCTCACCTTTTTATTGTGTTTTTCAGTTTTGCTTTATTATTCTTACAAATGTATGTTTGCTTTTTTAAATTTAATTTACAGAATGGCAGTAAATGCCGCTTTCGAACCAGATAATGGCGAGGAAACACCCGCATCATCAATACCACAATCGAAAAACACATCAAATGATGTGCACAATAAACGAATACCAAATGAAAATACCGCTTTACATTTAGACACTTATTTTGCGGACGAAAAAATTATAATACCAAATAATGTACGTTTATTGCTCAATAAACAATGAAAACATAGAAAAATTCATGATTTAAAACTTTCCGAAATTCCGTACAAATAGGAGGGATTCAGTTTCCGTAAGTTATGGGCGTTTACAGGTCCAGGATTCCTGATGTCAATTGCATACTTGGATCCGGGAAATATTGAGAGTGATCTTCAATCGGGAGTTATTGCTCAATATAAATTGCTATGGGTTTTGATGACAGCCACCATTTTGGGATTAGTTATGCAACGATTAGCCGCACGGTAACTACAAATTAAATAAAATAACGACAAATTCATACATTTCCTTGCTGTGTTATAATTAGGTTGGGTGTCGTGACTGGCCTTCACTTAGCAGAAATGTGCTATCGGCAATACAAAACGTTTCCTCGTTTAGTTTTGTGGATAATGACCGAAATAGCTATCATTGGGTCTGACATGCAAGAAGTCATTGGAACTGCCATTGCCTTATACTTGTTGTCCAACAAATACATTCCCTTGTGGCTTGGAACGTTGATAACAATAATCGATACATTTTCATTTTTGATGCTTGACAAATATGGCCTACGAAAGCTAGAACTATTGTTTGGCTTCCTCATAAGCGTAATGGCAGTGACATTCGGCTATGAGGTACGTATGACGTTTAATGACATTTAATAAAAATACTGATTTTTTTTTTTTTTTTTTTTGAAACGCATTTTTTCATGATAGTATATACGATCCGCGCCGAGTCAAATCAGTGTTTTGGAAGGCATGTTTATTCCTTGGTGCAAGGATTGTGGATCAAATGAATTATTACAAGGTAATCATCATATTTAATGAGAGATTTTGCGGAATATACGTCTAATTTACTTTTTTATGTTTTTAAAGCTGTTGGAATTGTTGGCGCTGTAATCATGCCACATAATTTATACTTACACTCAGCTTTGGTTAAGGTAGAACAAATAAATATTTTCAACCATCAAATCAACAATTTAATCAATCGTATTTAATTTATTGCAGTCACGTGATGTAAACAGAAGGGATCCAGCTAAAGTTCGTGATGCCAATATGTACTTTTTCATCGAAGCCTCTATTGCCTTGTTTGTGTCATTCATCATAAATGTATTTGTGGTTGCGGTTTTTGCACATGGACTTTTTCAAAAAACCAATATCGAAATCGTACGTTTTGACATTTGAATAAAGTAGCAGAGATGATTCATCTCGGATGAATTACAATTAGACAACAATAATAATAATTGAGAATTTTGACTTGTAGGTTCAATCGTGTCAGGGTAGACCACAGGATCTATATGATGAAGCTGTGAGAATGTTTGGCAATAATACCGACATTGTTGATGCTGATTTGTACAAAGGTGGCATTTTCCTCGGTTGTACATTTGGAGTTTTCGCCTTGTATATTTGGGCCATTGGCATTCTGGCGGCCGGTCAAAGTTCAACGATGACAGGCACTTATGCAGGACAATTTTGCATGGAAGGTTTTTTGAATTTGCAATGGGCACGATGGAAGAGAGTTTTTGTGACTCGATTAATTGCAATCGTACGTATCCACATGAGTCCAGCATTGAATTACAATTAGACACTGATTAATAATTAATTGTATCGTCCGCTTATAGGTTCCCACATTTTGTGTTGCATATTTCAGTGATATCCAAGATTTGACTGGAATGAATGACATTCTGAATGCTGTAATGTCTTTACAATTGCCATTTGCTGTTATTCCAACAATCGCATTCACATCAAGTGTGGCCATAATGGGTGAATTTGTCAATGGCATCACCAATAAAATTCTGTCCATTCTTTTGTTCATTCTTGTCATTACGATAAATATCTCATTTGTTACGGATCAATTGGAAAAGGCCCATTTAGATTGGGGATATTTCACTTTAGTTGGTGCGTTTATTGATTTTTATTCAGTCCATATAATCTACTAATCAACTTTTTTTTGTCTTTGCAGTCGCTTTCAGTGTTCTGTACATAATATTCAATATTTATTTGCTTATTCACATGGCGGTTTGTATGGGAAATCAGCAGCTGGGCAATTCATCGGTAAGTGACTACGCACTTTCAAACCCTAATACGCTTGATTTTAATTATAACCCTTTGATATTAGATCGTACAAAAGTTTGTAATACCAAACGAGAATACGTTCCAGAATGAAATGGCACATAATTCCTATTCTAGGTAAGCTCAGCGTCATTCATTTTTTTTAGCTTCTCCCGTCTTTGTAAATCTGTTTTGCATGCAACACAATCACACTTCATTTTCGTTTGGAATTAGCACACTTTACAATTAGCTTTTATGGGAATAAAACTTGATTTTATTATTTTAGTTAACACACTTGGGATATGCACGCTTTATGATTTTTAAAAATTGCACCAAATTGTTTCGTTTAAATAAATGACCGGCCAAAACTCTTGTTATTAGCATTAATTGAATGAGCTCTATTTGTTTGGAATTCCACTTTTGTTTTATATGTACATCGTAAAAAATGACGATAAACAAGACGTTTTTGAATGTAAAATCACGTTCCTTTTTTGCATTTTTTTGCAAATCTTTAGCAGTAATTATTATTGTAAGATGCAAATTAAATGTTGTTTTCTTTTGTAATTTTTATTTTTTGGTTTTATTTATGGTTCAAAAAAATATTGTCTGAATTGACAACACGGTTTGGTTAATTGGTATTGCATGCCTTAGATTACTAATAAGATGTGTACTTTCTTTTCTGTATTTTGGTTTAATTGGTGTGTAAGTGCCGATATTTATGAGAAATTTTGGTCAATTTACTTCGAATTATCGATCTGGTGAGATTTTCAAGGAAAAACATGTTTTTGGTATCTTTAGTCATAAGAGGGATTGGTGAAAATAAATAAGTTTTAATAAAAAAAAACACGTGTATTGTCTAGGGGGCAGACACGTGGAATAGGATTAGACTTTCAGTGTAAATATTCGAGAAATTGCAATGAAATAGCAACGCCTGTGAATGGATTCGCGTGGAATAGCGAAACAGTGCATGGAATAGGAATTTGTGTTTTTGGATTAGTGGAATAGCTGGATTAGTAATTTATATAGTGGATTCGGAATTTATTCTTGGTGTCTCCCCCCTAGTGTATTGTTGTTGAAGAAATGAACATATCTGTTGGGTTGTGCATATTTGGTTTGAATTTACACATCAGTTCATGTGAAGCATGGTGAACTTGATACAGGTGTTGGGTTGATTTAAAAAAAAGTATTTTAACACAATTGATAAAACCGTTTCATTTTTATTTTTATGTTATGATCAAAAACTAAAATTGTTGATTCTGAATTAATTAGCTTTGGCACAACATACAACATGCACAGTTTGTTTAAAAACAGTTAACATTCGGATTATAAGAATTGTGTGAGTATCAACAATAATGCATCTAATACTATTTTTGAATATTTGTAAATTTTATGTATAACGAAAATTAAAAAAGACTCGATTTTACTAATTTTTAAGTTCATCTTTGTAAGCTTGCCCACATCCACCATGATAATAAAAGTACCACATATGTGAATTGAATAACAAAATAATGTCATTTAAAACAAACCCTATTACAGAAAAAAGGAACAAATACAATCCTGTCGACTGTAAACTAAGCCATACTAAATCAAGCAATACAACTGAAACCATTTTGGGCATTAACAACATGAATATTTGAACTTTTTTTTAGTTCAATCAAGTCAAGATAATATTAATTATAATTATTGTTTTACGATTTCAAATTTATCTCATTTTTAAATTAATGTAAATAAGCAAATGAATAATGAAGTCGAATAATGGCTGGACATTGATTGCTCATTAGATTATTATTTGTTAGTTCTTTTTTTTGAAATGACACCAGATCGTAGCAGTTCAAATTGAAAAAAAAAACGCATTTTAATGAAATCACCAGACATTAGGTTTGAGCTATGGATATAGCGGCTGCTATTTCATAGCCGCTATTCATAGGCGCTATTGATCTCGTTTTAATGCATTTATGCATATTGTGCGTTATTTTCTACATCTCTCTCGTACTCACATTAAAATGTACAAAAGAATAGTAGGCTATGATATTCCTACTCGGTTTTACATACAGCACACGAATTAAATAGCGCCTATGAATAGCACCTATAAAATAGCAGCCGCTATATGCATAGCTCGAACCTAATGTCTGGAAATCACATTTTCCTCTTCTCTGAGATATTTTATAAATTAGAAGACTTCGTTTTTAATAAGTAGTGTGCACCGTTAGCATTATCACCAAATTATTAATTTTATTGTATATTTTTCATACCTTTAAATAAAATGATCTTATTTGCATGTGTAGACATTATCTAGATATTAAATAAACTCGATAAGTCTCATTTTGATCTAAAGTGTTATTTGGCTCCTAATTTGCATGATGTACATTTTGCGTGTCGAATGATGAACGTTTGAAAATCTTGTTTTGGTTTATACTTTTTCACTTGCAGAATGACTGACTCATAGCCGCTATTGAATTCATTTCATTTTGATGACGATTCTTCAGACGACATAGATATTGCATAAACGAAATTGTATTTCGTCAAAGAAAAGCCATAAACGAATCTGGCAACCGTATTTTTTAAAGAAGAAACCACAAAAAAAAAACAAGAAAAAAACAAGCAGCAATAAGAATTCAATCATGAACATATATAGAATAATACTTGTGATTTCGTAATAAGAATACAGCACGAATCATTTGGTAGACTAGACTTTTGTTATAATTAATGGAAAAGTTTTATGAGAATTGTTTTTGAATTGAAATTGAATATTTTTAATAAACCAAAGTTTGAAGACTAAATACAAAAAATGTCACGGATTGATTTATGAAATTTCCAGATAAGCAATTATCATCACAGCAATGGTAGGTAATATTTTTTTATTCTTACCAAAGATCGTCCATCGTACCATATCAGCTCATGCATCCGGTTCCTAATTATTATAAGAAGTGAGAATTTCGCAATAAAAACGCTTCTTTTTCACTTAAATTTGTTTGAAATAAACTTTATTGCAAATATTCATAATATTGTTTTTGTAAATTTCTTTTCAATTTCACAGAAATGTCATAACTTATACATTTGACATTTTTTCTTAGTTTTTTTTAAATTTTAAATATCAATCTTCTTCGCGCTTAAAGTAAATTAATAAAAGAAATATCAATTTTAATTAAAACTACGCATGTTTTTCGTTTGCTACATATGATTTGGTTCAAACTTTATTCTCATACATTATTTATGACATTGTAAAGTTTAAGTGATTTTTCTTTCATTAACTACGAGAGAAAAAAATATTGTATCATTTTCTTTATAATTCATATGTGTTTATGGGATATCCAAGAAATCCTGTCACGTATGGACATAAATATTCGAGCGGTCACAAAAAATAGTTTTACAAGAATTTCATTCGTTTATAGGGACTCGATTAAATAAGTTTTTTTGTCGTCAATTTACGTCGTCGAAATGTGCTACCAAGAGAATTTATTCACTAAACATAATGCATATTTTAACACAAGCAAAAATTATTATCCAATAGCCGAATTTATGTTCGAATCATTATTTTAGTTTTTCTGTATTTCATCGTCAATGAATTTCGATTCAAAATGTGTTACACATATAAACTCGGTTAATCATTTGCATCGATATTTACACATAATCGTATCAATAAATTTGGTATCAATAGAAAGAATTTTTCTATAATCGATCGAGAATATAAATCAAAATTTCTTTTAGTAATTTTGAAAAGGACATTACCATCATGATATTCATAGAATTTGTATTTATTTACGATTTCGCTTCCGTTTCATTTTCCAAAGTAATTCATCATCATTACTACGTTCCTAATCAAATTAGTTCAGAAGCTATGATTTTCTTTATGCTAATTCATCTTAATGCTGACGTTCAGGCAAGCATTATATATATTCTTTCAATTAAATCAACTTTTTTTCGTCTTTCATTACATTCTTATTCGGCTTCTTTTATTTTATTCGCACCATACTCTAAATATCATTCATTTTTTTTAGTTAATCACTTGAATTGTCTTTTCATAAAAAAACACTCTTTAATTCGAAACGATGGCATTTGCCTATAATTCAAGAGCTTACTTTTGGTTTTATAGTTTTAATAAACTGGCCTAATATTTTGTAAGTATAAATTTGTTCAAAATGTAAGTTTTTTGCAAAGACTCCAACATAACAACTTACTACAACGGTTCGTTTATACAATTAGTTTTATTAATTTTACAAAGAATATGTGTCTTGTTCTCTTTTGTGTCGATTTGATTGTTTTTTTTTAAAGAAAGAAAATGATGAGAGCATTTTTAACTGAAAGAATAAAAAAAAAGAGCAATCGAAAAGTAATAAAAAATAAAATCAAAAATCGTCAACAAAATGTGAAATCAAATTAAACTTAAAAAAAATATTACCTGTTGAAATTTTCAACGTTGGCAACGTCGTCCGTGTCGTATTCACTGTTTCCAATCATATGCTGTTCAATAATAAAAATGTGTGGTTCATTTTCATTCGATGCGGTTACATTTGAATGATTTGTATTTCTATGTCTATTCCTACGTGTATTTCGATTAGTATGAGATGCGTTCGATTCGTGATTATTATCGATTGTAATTGCCTGAAAGCCGGGTCTACTATTTGCGGCAAGTAAGAGGGCAGCATCGTGATGATCGAATGAATTTTCGTTTAGGATCAGTGAATCAACGACATCGGATCGACTATTTTCTGTATTATGGATTTCCTGTTGTTCTTGTAGTTCTTGCGGTGATAATGGTGGTTCATGGCTATTGTTATGTTGTCGTCTGTCTGCTGTGTCTCCATTTTCTGTCTCATCTCTTTCCGATTCGATAGACGGTTGCCTTAAAATTATATTCGATTGTAGTGGAATTTCACTTGAATTAGAATTATCAGATGTAAAGCCGTGATTTATTACCGATTCTGGTGTATTTGGAACAATCTCGCAATTCTCATCGTCTTGAATAAGCAGGGCTTCGGCCCTCGAACCATCCAACGATGAACCGCCCCTTCTAAGTGCACTATTGCTTCTGGCTATGGATGATGATCCTGCTGCATGGAGAATATCACTTGAAATCGACATATGACTAGTTTGTAATGCCTGCGGTGGAAGTGTTGTTGGTACATTTGATGGATAAATAGTTGTAATTGCACTGGTTGTACATTTCGGTGCAATTGCCGGATTAGTTATAGTTATTGGGAGCTCTAACGAAGTTGGCACATTTGTTGATGGTACTGTAACACCAATCACAGCAAGACTTTCATCGAGATTCGAACAATCAACGTTCGGCGATGCAACATCACTTTTTGACGGTTGCTCCAATGTCGACATGATTGGTGGTAAAATAGCATTCGTTTCACTGGTCGCTGCTTGATTTATTGTTTGAAATGCAAGCGGATCGACTTCAATGCCATTTCCCGTTTGAATTTGCAACACATCACCGATATACTGTTCTTGTGGAAAAACTCCGGTATCTTCTAAGGCGGCTGCCAAAATATCATGATTGTTTGGATCTTCTTCAATCATATCTTCCGGTATAATAATTTGCTCTTGTTGATTTGATTGGATGGCGGCGAGTATATCTTGCGGTGAACCTTGCAAAATCAACCGTTGACCATCTGCTGTGACTATTTGTTGCATTTCACCGCCGGACGTTAATTGTAATAGACTTTGTTGATCGAGTAAGATTTGTTGGCCATCGACATTTAGTATATATTTGAAATTTGATGGTTCTTCGACATTTTGAACGACTTGCTCTTGTTGATATTCGAATTGTTGTGACGCTTGTGGAACCATCGTTTCCTCAATAAGTTCCTCTTGAATGCCGGCATTTATTAAACTGCCCGGAATCAATTGATTTTTCTCATCCAAATACAACGGCTGATGATCGATTGGGACATATTCTTGTTGTTCGGTTATACGGCAGAGATAAAATGCACCTTCCGGCCCATTAAAACTTTCGGCTGGCACAGCTAATAGCTGATTATCTTCGGCATTTTGCAATACTTCGGTTGGTTGAGCTTGATCGGCAATTGCATTCGCTTGCATCTCTTGCTGTTTACGCATTAGCATTTCTTGTTGTTTTTTATTCGGCCTACTTGGTGTCTTCACATTTTGCTTTTGAATAATTGATTGCTGATGTTGCACGATGTTTGTGGTGATCTTTGGCTTCACTTGTCCACCAGCTTTGTATTGGTGCTGGATAAATTGTTGCTTTTGAAATTGTTGATTTGTTTGTTTGTGCACCATTGACGGTTGTTTGTGAATCAAATGTGGATTGATCGATTGGTGTGTTTGAACATGAATGGTTGGCATCGGCGGTGATCTTATTTGCGGCGAATAAGATGTTGATGCACTTGAACGAACCACTTGGCTTAATGGTCGTGCCGATATCGATGTGGTTGCTGTTTGTGTGGTAATCGTATTGGATGTAGTTTTGATTAAAGCACCCTTGCTCGTTATCACAAATTGTGTGGATGAATTCGATTTTGCGGTATGGAGCAAAGCCGGATTAACCGATTGTACCATGTCTGGTGTTTGTATGTGCGACGGCAAATGTACGACCGGTCTATCTGATGGTTTGCGATAGGTGACAATTGTATTTCCTTGCAAATCGTAACCAATTGTGACAGCAACTTTTTTACTTTTTTGACTCATTCTCGGACTTTTCTTCGGTTGCTGTTGTTGCGGTGACTGCTGCTGTTGTTGCGGCGACTGCTGCTGTTGATGTTGTTGTGGCGGCTGCGGGTGTGATTGTGATTGTGATTGTGTTTGTTTTTGTGTTTGTTGTTGTGGTTGCTGTTGGTGCTTTTGTGACGCTGATGATGTCGAGCTTACGGCACTTATTTCGCTCGGTACAACTTTTGGAACAATGACATTTGGATTTGTTTTAATCAGAAGCCCGTCGCCAGCATCTCTAATTTGACTACTAGTCTCAGCCACATTTAGTTTAACAATTGATCGTTTATTCACTTGTTGTGTTGTGTTTTCCACAATATCTGCGATTTTCAATTGTTTTATTGGCGTGTTTGGAGTTGCTGTTAATTCACAATCACTATTTGTTCCCTCATTTTCATTGATAGATTTTCGCTTTTTTGCAACTGCTACATTTATTACGGCACATTCTTTTGGCTGTTCCATCACAATTTCTTCGGGTGTTTCATCTGCGGTTGTTTTAAGATTCCTTGAAATGGTCGGCGTTTCTGGCTCTACGACAACAATAACTTCTGTCTTTTGCGGCGAATCCTTCGGTTTTGGTAATTCCACTTGAACTTCAGTACTCGGCACATCTTTATCACTTGATGTAACGATGGTGGATTCGGGGACCTTTATCGGTGAATTGGTCAATGTGATCAGTGTGTTTGCCACTTCAGATTCAATTTGGCTTTCTTCCGATTTAAAAGAAGAGTTGACCTCTTCTTCTTCTTCTTTGGCGACTGATTCGATCGGCACTGTTTCAATTTCGGTTATTTTTGGACTTTCCATGGTCGAATCGGCAAACGATTTTTCAATCGAATCAAAACTTTGATTGGCATCCTTGGTGGGAGATTTTTCATCATTTGAAAATGAATCTCCCTCCGACAAACGACTTCGATTCCTTGACTTAAAAATGCGTTTTCCCCTTTCTTTTGGCGGGAGTGCTTTGTTATCTTTTATATCGTCATCCTTTTGCTGTTTTTCAATTTGTTTTTCCGGCGTGGCTATATCATCGTTTGAAACACTTTTAATATCGTCCATGGGCACGGGTGTTTCCTTTGTCTCTTCAGGTTCAATTTTTAAGCGTTTCGCCTGTTCATTTTCTTCTTGCTTTCGAATCTCTTCCAATTTATCAATTGTCTGTAATTCAAAGACTTTTCCGGGCGGTAAGCAACGTCGTTTTCGACGATTTAATGTTTGTGGCATTTCTTCTTCTTCCTCTTTGAAATCAAAACAATCGACTTCAGTTTTGCACGAATCTAGATCGGATTTCATCGGCGACGTTTCGTCCACATCCATTTTATCCGGTTTTATGTCGTTTGTCTCGACAACATTTTGGTCGTCAGCGATTGTCGACTCAATTGGTTTAATTTCAATGTCTTCAGCTATTTTGGGTAGAATCTCTGGCGTACCGTTACCTTTGATTATTGAACTTTCTTCAGTTTCTTTTGATTGCAATTGGCCCTTCTCGTCGCCACTCGTCGATGATGACTTGGTCTTACGCCTTGAATTTGATCGGTATGTTTTAGTCACTGTTTGGGTTGTCATTTGAACTGTGGCCGAACTACGCCTTCTTGCTATTGGTTTTTCATCCACCGGTTGCTCTGGTTCAATGGCGATAATTTCAATGGGCTGAGTATGGGTCTCTTCAATGCTTTCATCAATTGATGAATTTCTAGCATTTTCACTGCTATCTAAGTCTTCATCGTTCTTGTGCTTATTGAGTAGTCGTCGCTTCTTCTCAATGATTCCAACCGTTTCAATATTCTTTTGCAATTGACTAGTTTCTTCAAGCAAATCGGCACCTTGTTTCAATAAATTTACGTCTATTTCGTCCTTCTTTTCATCTTCTTCGTCCGGTACTTTCACTGGGGTCTTGATGTTATCTGTAGTGGTACTTTCTACAACTTCATTTGTGCTGTGCTCATTATCTTCATCATCTTCAATGTGCTCAATGTGCTCAATATGCACAACATCATCTTCAGTTTCAATTGCTTCAACCTCAGGGCTACTTGGTGGTTTTTCATCAGTTGTACTGCCAATTTCCGGTTCTTTTGGCAAATCTTCGGTGATATCAAAGATCTCTTCATCCGATTCAATGACAACAGTCTCATCTTTTTGTTGTTCACCTTCAGTATCGGTTTCATTTGTGCTTGGCACTTGTTTTGTATAAAATTCATCCAAAATGATACCGCGGCGATCTTTTTTTGGAATGTTTCGAATCGTTTGCTGTTTCGGTTGTTTTTCATCACCACTTTGGTTAGGTGACGATAGAACACTTTTTATTTCATCCAATTCGCTTGTCACCTCTTTGCTCGCCGAAACCATACTGTCATCATCATCTTCCGACCAGTCAGCCAGAAGTTTCGATTTAATTTCAATCGGTTCTTCGGGTGATTTCTCAATTTCTGCCACAACCACTAAGTTCGCTTCTACTTGATCATTCTCTTGCACAGTTGATTGTTTCTTCCTTGTCGATCTTTGTGTTTTACGTGGACTTGCTACTTTTGGCACTGATGTTTTTTCTGCTATCTCTTCAACATCACTATCAATCATTACATCAGCTTCTTCTTCAACCGGTTCTGCCGTTTTTACCGCCGCTTTTGTTTTTGTTTGTCGTTTTTTCGGCGATGGTTTTGTTATAGCTTTTACTATCACCTGTTTCGCTTCATTTTCACTGTCACTTTGTGTCATGCGATCTTCCGATGCACTATCAAAATCAGTATCCACCGGTATAGGTTCAACATAGATTTTCTTCGGTTTTCTTCCTCGCGGCCTTCCCGGTTTTCGTGCTGGTGTTGCAACCGGTGTCTTCTTTGCTTTTGCTACTTAAACAAATAAAACATTTAAATTAGAATTTCATTTCTTTTTTTTTTCGCAACAATTGCGAAGTAATCAAACATTTTCAATATTGCTTAATGTGAAACGTAGTTTTATACATTAAGCTATGGAATAGTAAGATATATATATATATATATATGTTTGTTCAGTGATTTTAGAGAGAACCAGAAAAGATAGAGAGTTCGGGTTTTCGGCATTCGATAGGGCATGAAAAACCCTCCAGACGTATTTTTTATTTTCCCCATAAGTGCTCCCCATTTAATTTTTTCATTCATGGACCCTCTTTTTTGGATTCCACTTTGAAAAATATTTCGATTCCACTCACCATTTATTGAGTGGATAACGAATGGATTCGGGAGGATTGATTTTTAACCGTAACTTCATTGGTTGGATAAAAGATGGAATAAATGAGTTTTACTTCAGTGTTAATTTGATTACTTTGGATCTAGATGAAACTTGTTGAAAAAAAGTTGGAGACACCCGAGTTACCAAATTGTTTTAGATTCCTTATAAAATTACCTTTCGAATGGTATATAAATTATGGAGTTTCCGGCAGGTTTGCTGGCGTTTTACGCTGGCCGTTTGGCCGAAATATGAAAAATTGTGAGAAAAATCGGCTTCCGAATCTTATTGCAAGCAACCTAGTTCTATGATTTTGATGAAACTTTGCCAGATGATAGCTCTTGAAGCCCTCTTTCCAACGGTATATAGGTTATTAGCCAATCGAACTTGTGAATGTGTTTCCCAGGTGGCCGTTTGAGGCCAAATTAGTGAAAATATTGGCAAAGTCAACTTTCAAAGGGAAATTTATTGAAGATAAGTTGCAGTTACGTGAAGATAAAAATTGTTTTAGAATCCCCATAAAATTACCTTTTGAATGGTATATAAATTATAGGGTTAACCAACTTTTTGAAGTGGCAGTGCATAGGTAGCCGTTGAGGCAATGTGAGGAAAATATTGGCAAAGTCAATTTTCAAGGTGTAATTAATTTTAAAAAAATTGTAACTCTTCACTCAAAAATTCAATATATTAATAGTACGGTTCCACGTTTCACATTAAGCTCTACGGCCAAAAACTGGCAGTGTATTTTAAAATGATTTAATCTACTGGAAATTCTATCAAAACGTTTCACTACCTGCTGCTGGTGAAGGCTCAACCACTCTACTCTCCGATGTGTGTGTTTTATTATGTAAAACAATCACATTGAGTCGAGTTGTTGAAAAGTTACATAAATGACAGTGGAATTCATTCGGATTCGGTGTAGAGGTGCTGCTTGCACTGGCACTTGCACTGGAACTGGCTGCCGTACGATTCACCCCCAATGAAGACGAAGTATATGATTTTGATGCAGATAATGTTGGAGTTGTGTGCGCTGCTTTCAACGACAAATTCTGTAATGCAAAAAAAAAAATTCTTGACTGAGAAACGCTGTTCGTTTAATAAAATAGTCGAATTTAATCATTTACCTTGGTTCGACTGTATGTGAAATCTTCATCGCTTGGCGTGGCTTTCCTTCGGCCTCGTCCAACCCCTTTTTTCATTTTTGGCGTTTGATCTCCAAATATGTTTGCAATATTTGGCTTTTGTTCCGGTTGAAATTCTTCACTTTCAATAATATCTGGATCGCCGCCGGTTTTTTCTTCAGCAATTCGAACATCTTGCGGAAATTTTTCCATATTACGCTTTTTTGCACGATGCAAATCTATATGATGCACAACGATAAACATTTTATTTTTATTCATCGAAATATTGAATAAATCAAAATCCTTACCCAATCCTTTTTTGATGAATTCATGCTTTCGAATGCAATTATATTGGTAGATATCGTTGATTGTTTTTACATATTCGTAGGCATTCTCTTGGAAAAATTTCACAACTGCAACGGGTTGACGCCGAAATGATTTCAGTAAACCGTGCGGTAATTTTGATTCACCATGCACTTCGCCTGGCCACCAAAAATTGTGAAATTTAACCCAGACAATATCGCCGTCAACATATTTGATTTCGGTTTGATCACACATGTTGGTTGATTTGGCAAAACCCGTTTGCTATTGTATTCCGTTTAGTTTGTTTTTTTTTTCGTTTGTTTTGGTCGTTGAATTAAAACGAGTTTCAAATGTAGTTCACTTCGACGTCCTATTCTGACCTGTCCCGTCGGTGAAGTTCCTGAAGTTAAAAATTGAAAGTCATACGGTTAGCACTAATGTTTTCCACATAATAAGCAAAGTCACAAAAGCAATTGATTTGTGTTTTAGAAAAAATGCCATTCAGATATTGATGTGTACTTTTATTTCTTTGTGTCTATTTTCTATTCAAAACAAGGAAAGCTGAAAATGCACACACCGATAACAATAATAATAATAGTAATGTGATCGACGTGTGCGATACACGGATATGGTTCATTATCGATTCCACCATCAATTAATCGCCGTACATTCTATGCTTTAAGACGTAATAAAAGAAGCATTATACAACACAGAAATCGGTGCAATTCAATTTCAATACACTTCCAATTGGCGTTGTCAAACGCTTAGAAAACGGTGCAGAAAAAACCCTGAACGATAATGTTATTTTAAAATTTGTGGTTATTTTTTATTGAGAATTTGACATTTCCTTCAAATTTGTTGTTTTTTCCTCTTCTCTCTTTCAATATGTAACATTTTTCTCTTTTTTAATGTATTATTGTTGTTTGACTGTTTGTTCACTTTGAAATCGGCCATAAATGCGATAGGCGAATATGTGTATTTGGTGAGTATGAAGCACACACAAATCAACGAAAGTGTAACTGTTCGCGTATTTTATTCTCACCACATATATCACACATAATGAATACAAAAAAAAAAATATATTAATGCACATACATCGAATGTAATCCGTGTATTCGTATCATTGGTTCGTTGTGTCAATTTTGTCGTCTTTGTCGTGACGCTGTTTTTTTTGTGTATAACCAATGGAAACTTGTTTTTCCTGACCTAAACCTTATCAATAGATTTCGATATTTTATGTTGTCAAACTACGACGTCTAAACTACCGCAAATCATGGCAACGATTGTTAAATTTTACTTTGTTATTGTTGAATATAAAAAAGAATTCATTTCTTTCTCTCTCACGGGAATATTTCATCTTTCGACCGTGTGATCGGTGGTTTGCCAAACATACATTGAAAGTAATACACTAGCAGCGGCCTGTACTGAGTTTGCAACTTATTGACATATAACACGCATACATCATCATCATTCGCAATATTCTCGCTCTCCCGCATACACTATGACATATAACGCATACACACAACATCAACGCATATCGTTGCCAAATAGACCGAACTTGATATTATACATTTTTTTTTCTTCATACTTCACAATGACCGAAGTGAAATTGTCAGTGACAGACAAATATTGAACGAAATTTAATAATAATTATTATTTTTGTCTAAAAAATTTGACATGAACAATAAACAAATGTCAGTTTTGTATGCATAAAAATAGCCGAAAAGACAAAGAGATTGTCGCAATGAGTTCGATGTAAAGGCGCTAAAATAAATTTGTATATGCGATATACATTGGTGGTAACCGGAGAAATGCTATGGCGATGTAATCGCTTCATCGTTGCCGTTACCTGTTTTCGCCTTTCTGTCTGTGTATGAGCGCAATAAGAAAATACGCGACGCCTTCTTTACTGACAATCTTAATAATCGACCGAATATCTAATTTATTTCATCGAATATGATTTCTTTTTGAAAATTTCCCGTAATTTTATCTGAGCCAAAGGTCATGTAAATGTTTTTATTTTTTTTATTTTTCATACATTCGCCGAAAATAAAAGAGTTAAAGAAATGTCTAATGAAGGTTTTGAGACTCACCATTTTAATGGAACGACAATTAGAATTTCACCTTTTTTAAAAAAAGAGAGAAAAAAAAACTGCCGCTGTTCTCTTTAATTTAATACACAATTGTTAATTGATTAAAATTTCTCGTCTTCAATGTTTTACGTTTGATTTTATTTTATTGCCGTAAAAAAAGGAATAAAATTGTGAATTTTATTCACTTCACAAACATTACACAAACCATCGGTTTGTATACGAATCGTATTAGATGTATGAATGAGACTCCGAACGAATCTTCAATATGGTCGACTGAATTTTGTGTTTTCGGTCGACATCATTAATACACTGAGAACCAGCTTTTCGGCATTGTGAACGAGACGAAGGACATCTATAGCGCAATGCGCACGAAAGAGACGACCAAATGGTTTATGGGAGAGAATTGGAGAGTAAAAGTAGACATTTTCTCGCTCATTTCGCTGCTGTAGTTTGTGTGTGTGCGTGCACACTTTGTTCGTTCAATGACTTCTAGCTTATTTATTTGACAGCGGCAGTTTTAATTTGACAGTTGCCTTGCTGATGGCATTTTGAACGTGGGACTCCTTAAATTTGAAAGTTGCTAACGAAAACTACAAAATATCTATTCAAGAAACAAAATTACGTGTTTTTTGCATGAAAAATGTTTATTTTTTAGTCATTGCTTTCTTTTTCTTCTTTTTTCGGAACATGCTCAAATTTAGTTGCCTTCCCCTTTGTAATATTATGTGCTTCTTCTGATTTACGTTTTTTCACCTCTTTTAGCATTTTCTTATGCTGGTCGTCAATGTCTTTTACTAAACTAGCCGGAATTGTCCATTCCAATTCACACGGCATTTGCTTTGTTGGATCCATTTCCGTTGAATATTCTGGCAATTCAACACCTAAACGTTTCAAAACCTTTTCCATCACAATATCAACGTATGTTGAGATTATTAAGTCGGCTTTTTTGTCATGTTTCGTTGGTTGCAAATTGCAAATCACTAATTTACCTAAGGGGAGAATCACAAAAGAAAAGAATTAAATTTAAAATAATCGATAAGTAATCGGAAAATAATCGTAAAACAATCAATAATAATTAATAAGCCATTTTTAAGTGACTAATTTACCGCCGAATTTCTTATTTTTTAATGGAAGTGAACCGCTTGGATTGATTTGTAGAGTTGTTCCCAGAGTAATGTTCAAATCGGCCAAACTATGAAATGAATTTTGAATGTATTTTTGAAAATATACAATTTTAAATTTTGATCTACCATGAATGTGTGAGTGCCATATCGAGATCATTGTCGGGCAAATCGTGCTCCCAGTCAAGTATATTATCTAATAAATAACCGCCACGGCATGCACGAGCCCCTTTTCCACCTTTGCAAATGCCACCCGTTCTCTTCTGACCCACTGTTGGTGCTGGTGTCGCTCTTACATATTGTCTATTGGTGATAAAAATTACATTCATGTTAATATGGAGTTCAAAAAAAGGCATTTATATTATCACATCTTACCTTCGGCACTTGTCACAATTCTCGATAAACATATTACCATGCAACTCAGCCAAGTTGGAACGAGGTACGCCCGATTTTAAATGCAGCCCATCAATATTCTGACTGACAATATATTTGATGTGACCTGACTCGAGCAGTGCTTTCAAAGCCATATGGCATTTTGTAGGTATCGCATCCGAAAAAGAAACATTCACTTGTGGAGATTTACCCTCTTTTTCTAACGTCCAAACACCTTTTGGTCCCCTGGAAACAATGAAATGGGTTTCATAAATTGACTGATTTTCATTCGATTTATTGCCATACCTAAAATCCGGAATTCCTGCGCTTGTACTAATACCTGCTCCCGTATGAACGACAACATGTTTTGATGCCAAAATCATTTGGGCCAATGTTGCACATTTCTCGTCAACTGTTTTTTCATCGTCGAATACCTAATATGAAATTAATCATTAATAAATTCCCAAATAATTTTTATTATTTTTATGTTTGTTTTGACTTGTTTATTACATGTACAGCGTATAATGTGAAGTAGACAAAAATTACCTCCGGAACACCCAATACACCTTTATTGTTGTAATCAGATAATCCATTCGCATAATCACAAGACATGTTTTCGATTTATTTATATTTTTTTTTTTTACAAAAATGTGCATGTATACGAACGAGAAATTGTTTATCGCATTGAGGTTTGTAAACAAAGCCAATGCTGCTGTGATGCGAATTCATCTGTCAATGTGTTAAAGGTAGTAGATTATATGATTCTTCTTTTGACAACTTGTAATTTAAACAATGAAGTTAAAAATAGTTGTTTGTAGTTGAAGTTGTTTATGTTTGTTTTTAAACAAAATTTTGTGGAGCCGAAAAAAATGCCGAGAGTTTCCTACGTTTGCAGCGACGAATTGATAGCACAATGCAACAAAATACCCGTTTTAAAAAAGCGTGTAAGATCTAATTTATTTTAATAAAAAAATTTCAAAATTTATTTTCCAATTTTTTTAAGGCATCCATGGTGCACGAATTGATCCGAGGATATAATTTACACAAATTAATGGAATGTGTTAAACCAAATTTGGCAAGCGAGGAAAATTTATCATTGATTCATTCACAATACTACATTGACTATCTCAAAAATGAATGCACTGCTGAAACTAGCATAGAAACGCTTGATTCAGATGACGATAATGGGGATTCAGATACATCAGATGTTGACGATGATCAATTAAATTATGGTTTAGGATATGATTGTCCAAAAATTTACAATTTATGGAAGTTTGTCAGAGTTATTGCTGGCGCTTCAGTCACAGCTGCCAATTTGCTATTAAGTAATCGAAAAATTGTGATAAATTGGTGTGGTGGATGGCATCATGCGCAAAGGTGGCATCTTCACGAATATATTTTTCAAATGTTCAAAATGATTTTTCAAGCATTTTCTTTTTGTAGAGATGAAGCTGAAGGGTTTTGTTACGTAAATGATATTGGCATAGCTATTCAACGGTTGCGAACTCGATTCCAGCGAGTGTTATATATCGATTTGGATATACATCATGGCAATGGTGTTGAGAATGCTTTTGCCTATACACGGCGTGTGTTTACTGTTTCTTTTCATCAATTTCAACCGGGCTTTTTTCCTGGCAGTGGAAGTGTTAATGACTGTGGAAATGGCAATGGAAAAGGCTATTGTGTAAATTTTCCATATAAAGCACATATTCGCGGTGAATTGTTTATTAAATACTTTAGCAAGTGAGTTGAACTGTTTAAATTGAAACATGATCATTTTTACGCAATCGTTTATTATGTAGGACGCTTTCAGAAATAATTGTAAGATATCAGCCCGAAGCGTGTGTTGTGCAATGTGGAGCAGATTCAATAGTCGGCGATCCTCTTGGTGGCACTAATCTGCTACCAGAAGACTTAGCTATTTGTATCGAGCGTATTTTGGCATGGGGTCTACCAACAATGTTTTTAGGCGGAGGTATTGATTAAATGGAAAAAATGTGTTTTATTTGTTTTTGGTTTTAATCAAGTCTTTATTAAATCACTTATCTCATGTGTAATTAGGCGGTTACAATTTTCAAAATGCGGCACGATATTGGACCTATTTAACATCTGTGATTTGCAAAACGAAAGAACCGCTTGATAACGATTTACCTGATAATAAATATTTTCTACGTTACGGACCGGGCTATGAGTTATCGATTTCGAGAAAGCAATTTGACGATTCGAACACAGAAAATGACATGGAGACAACTTATCAAATAATTCGAGGTAATTTGAAAAATTGATTCTTACTTTGATAGTGAAAATAATGATTCTATTCCTTTCATTTTCAGACAATTTAAACAAATATAATGTTTACAACTGTTAGCATTCATTTTTAAATTAAAAATAAAATAAAATTTGTTTGGATACAACCACTTTTTTACCATCTATAATTCTTCTTTGCTTCCTTTTTGGTTTTCTTCTTTATCGTCGAAAACTTCATACAGACAGGTTGAGTCTTCGTCCTTCAAAACAATGTCTTCACAAAGAAATTTAATTAGCGGTATACCTTTTTCTTCTGCATTGTAGTACCAATCTTCGACGTCGCTTTCGTGCAACTCAACCAATGATTCGCATTGTGTTTTGAGTCGACTGACTTCGGCTGAAGGTGTGTCCCAAAGTTCATAGGGCATGCCTAAGTCGACTTTAACACCTTTATCAACGAGACCATGCAACGTTTTAAATGTCTGCGACATTCCTTTTGCAAAGCGAGTGCTTCCTTTCCGTTCTTTATGCAAATTATATTGTAAAACGCGATCACAGATATTCTCCAACGATTCGATAAGACGCAATTCGCTCTTTTTATACTCTTTTCGTTTCTTTGGTTTCACATCATCAACGGAATAGCTAAATGTTAAATGAAATACATTAATGACGATTATGATTTAAAACTCACAACAAAAGTTTATCATTGTGAAGAAAAATTATTATTGGTTGAATGAAAAAAAAAATTGCGATACCGTACCCAACATCGATAACTTCACGACTTTTTCCGGTCTCTTTCAGTCGATCCATTAATTCAGTCGCTAGAATTTTACAGGCTTCACACCTATTCGCATAAATAACCCCGTGTTCTTCTTCAATCGAACAATCAACACCAATCACAATGAATGCACAGAGTGCAATGCACGAAATTAATTTTTGCGGTAAAAACATTTTTTTTCCCAATAGTTTTTGCTCAAATGAACTATTTTTCGTTCTAAATTTATGTGTATTCTTATCTCGCCAGCTCTGAATGAAATGCTGATAATGCGTTTTGAGTTAATTCCATATAAACAGTTTTCCAAGCAAATATTAAATGTCATTAAAAAACTGATGTGTCTTTTTGTTTACCGGCTACTACAAAATCTGCGACATTTAATGTCAAATATGGTGCGAATGCGGCGAATTCACTCATACAATTTGGTGCGTAATTGTTCAGTGTAACACAGATGGTATCGTTTGTTTGTATTAATGAAAACAAAATGTATATTCCGATGCTGAACATTTTCTTTTTATTATAACTTAAGAATGACATGTGAATGGAAATATGCTAAATTTTTGGGCTTTTTGATAGTCGTGGATTATCATCATAGCCATCCTGAAGTTGGGCTCGTTGTCGCTTTTGATGATTGCTGACCATGATCGGTGTGTGCAGCAATTCGGTTCGTCCGCTCAGCCACTTTGTGAATGAGTCGGTTGTTTGGCATCCAATCGAATACAATTCGGATTCGATGTATTCAAATTTTTGTGCATTTTTCAATCCTCTTGCTGAATCTTTGCTCAAATCAATGAGCGACCGGCATCGGGCACGACACGTTTCATACAACATTGGGGCGACCGAGTGACTATTATCGAACGGTGTAACATACTGACCAAAACTGTAGAAGTATTTATTCATTCGTCCCAGATCGACGGCGAGCGCGTCCGCTTCACAAATTTCCTTCAGTCGGCTTTTATAAATGTCGGGCACTTGAAAGTTTAGCGTTCGTGATCGTTGATGAATTGCATACCATAGTGGAAGCTCAATCTTTTCACCGCGTGCAATATTCGGACGATCAAATGTGGGGTCTAGTGTTCCTATTCCATGTATTAATGTTTCAGCAATGCACGGAATCTTCTCTTGGGTCACCAAAATATCTTGTATTGAATAATAATTCGTCTGATAGCTCGTTATGTGCATTTTTTCTTTGTTTTTTTTCAATACGATTTTGTCTATATTTGTTTTTTCGACGTCTTCGCTTTCCAACTTGTAGTGTATGAATTTTGTAAACAAAAAAGGCGGCGACTTTGACATTTGTGATTTTGTCCATGGCAGACGAGTTTTCTTTTCATATTATTGCCATAGAAATCATATATTTTTTTAAATTTATACCAAAAGAAAGAATATTATAAAAAATACATTTTTCTTCATGCATATTCGTTTAACAAATTTTGAACAACATTTTTTGTACAAACGTAAATAGTATTTAAATTGTCTATTGCATTGAACGTATCCATTCATTAGAAAATCACAACGATGGCGAAGTGGTACTCTGTAGTCATACAGAAGAAGTTATTTGAACATAACTTTCACTCGTTTGACGTTTAAAGAAGCTCGTGTGTCTGTGAGCACTCAAGATATAATAAAATATCAATTCATCATACAAAAGTCGATGATTTGAATATTTAAATATTAAAATCAACGCTGATACTTCAATTGGATAAAACGTGATTCGTGTGTCGTCTTAATACTTTTTGGCATCGCTGAGGCTTTCATTCTCTGTCATCATTTTGTGTATTTTTCACTGCGACATTCAATTGTTTTTCAGTTGAATAAATTTTTCACTTCCTGATTGTACAAATTACTCGTTTTTATCAATAGTGAATTATGTTACGAAATACCTTTGTTCGGACTGTATACACATTAGGCAAATTACAAAACGTACGTAAATTTGGTGAAAATGCATTAACAAAAGTAATTAATGCATCGTCAGCAATTACTGAACGGAAAACATTGAGTGCATTGAATCACACAAAAGGCTTTTCAACATCTGTACCAAATCAACAAAAAGATGAGTGAGTTACCTCTTCAAATTGGTCGTTTTTCTCGATAACAGTTCAATTCTTCTAATGAATATATGATTTTTTTTAATTGCAGAATTGAAGTATTTTTCATTAGAGCCGATGGCACCAAAATCAGAGGAACTGGAAAAGTCGGAGACTCTTTGTTGGATGTTGTTGTGAACAACAGTATTGACTTGGAGGGCTTCGGCGCCTGTGAAGGAACCCTCACATGTTCAACGTGCCATCTTATATTCAAACAAGAAGACTACGATAAGTTACCAGGTAAAATACAGATTATTATTTATTATGACATACGAGTACTAATTGCATTGATGTCGATTATACTTTATAGAAAAGCCCGGCGATGAGGAGATGGATATGTTGGATTTGGCCTATGAATTGACAGACACATCGCGATTGGGATGCCAAATAATTTTGTCAAAAGACTTGAATGGCTTAGAAGTACGTGTACCAACAACAATTAATGATGCCAGAAGCTAACTCACCACGTGTACAGTCAGTTATATAACACAATCTCATAGAGTTTGCACAAAACTATCTACCATAAATTCGGTGGCTATAAACTATCACAAAAAATTCTATCTTACTGGCTAAGAAATGTTTTGGGAATGAAGTGCTTTATATTTTTTTATGTAAGAAAATTGTAATTGACCATAGTAAATCTAAAAGGCAATATGTTTAAATAGATAGCAAATTATTGAGAAGATTATGTAGATGAATAGATGTTTTTTTTTCTACAAATAATTGTTATATTCTTGTTCAACAGAGTAGATACAAATAAATTTTATCATTAAAAAATGGAATTCAATCAGACAGTCAGTATTAAATCTTTTCGAATTATATTATTTCTTATAACAAAAAGATGTATTCGAGAAATACATCCCGTTTTCGCCTTGATGACACTCAATTCGTATGAAATATATGTTTTTCATCGCAAAATCTGATGAATGTCATGGCCGAACCTATTACAATTTAAAATAAATCAAACGAAACTGAAGTCACGTACACCAATAGCACGCTTCGTAAACAATTTATTTGAGTAAGTCCTCAGAACATTTTAAACGATTAAATTTCTAAGTTTTATCTACTTCGATCTACTTGAAATTGCTAGTGAAAATAAAAAAAACTCAGCTTTCATGACATTACACTCTACTATCTATCCTAAGAAGCTAAATATTACTCCGAAAAAAAACTGTCGACATTTTTATATTAGACAAACTCACTTTTCGTTACATGAACGATTACGATAGCGAAAAAATTTATCTTGAAAAAACAAAGCCAAATGATCAATTTTTTCAGTTAATGATCAAGTAATTAAAAATTATACTGTGTAATAATAGTTGCATAAATATTTAAAACAATTATGTTCTATTTGCAGAGCGAAAGTTCCCAAAAATATTAAAAATACACTCATCTTCGTCTTTGGTATGTCGGTTATTCTTCAGAGAAAATTATGATAATTAATTGAAATTATATTTAGATGTGATTCAAATTCACGTTGAATTGGTAATAAGTGGCGCGTCTTCTAAGAAACTATATATAATATACGAAAATAGGTCAAAACATTCTATGCAAATTTACGAGCAAACATTTAGAAGATTCGTCCACTTCATTTTTGTCATTCGAAAATGCTTATGTGGTATAATATGATCTGTTAGCACCCTATAACAAATGAGTATTTTGTTTCTTGAGGAAATTAGAAACTGCACCTTTTTTGTTAACAAAAACGCATCTTATTTCATAAAAAAGAGCTGTACAGGCACTGAATAAGCCGAAATTACACCATCAAGTCTATGTGTGACTCATTTGACCAATGTGAAGAAGGCGCAATGAAAGAGAACAAAGTGGAATAGTAAATGTGTTTATTTCATGTGACCAAAAATCGTTTGTGTTTCGGTTGTTTGACAAATTGAATAAATTATATTTCGCTTGGGTGAAAGTGATTTATATTTTTCTATTTCTTTTCGTATATCTGCGTCTGTGTACGTGTCTCGGTGTGCGTCGATTCTATCCAGTTTACAATCATGGTATGCATATCATTATAGCATTCCAACATTCCCAACGCGAAACAAATAAAAACGATAACATGAACAATAATTTGTTTCTCAGCGGCTGAAATAGGCAAATGAGTTACTTTAGGTAGTTGGTGAATGCTTCAATGTATGTACGAAGAGAAAGAGACATTTATGGCGTTGTGCATCGTTATAGTGTCCAATCCCAGTATGATTTGTGTGCTATTTCTAAACTATCGAGAGATAGATTACATTCGGTTGAACATTGACGTCAAAGAGTTAAGTAGATGCATGAATATTACTTGAAAATGTTCAATAACTACACTATGTAACAATGAATCTTTTGTGGAAAGTTGGTAGTTTCATCTACAACGTGACAATGTATTTATAGGCGTTTCAAATGGCTACTAAATAAACAATGAAAAGTACATATTTTGAATGGTGAAGCAGCACCAGGCGATCGCGATCGATTGAATCATCCGTACGTGCATGCAAAATCCAATCAAAGCCACGTCACGTTTAACGTACTCGTTCGAATATGAAAGCATTTAATTTGGAACTTCACGATATTATGCAATTGCTGATCATACACATCGTCACGAAGCACACACATCACATGGAACTAAAGGGATTATAATGACTTTTTGATGGAATTCACCGATGGTAGACAAAAAATAATAATAAACAAAAACAAAAAAAATTGAACAACATTTCGTTTTCACTTTTCTGCTGTCGTCACAAATCGCATCCACTGTACCGCACACACTCTACCACGCAGCAAATCAAATGACCTATTTTGTTGAAGCCACAAACAAACGCAACACGGTATGAAAGACTATGCGGCTATTGAACGAACAACGAACCTACTTAGTGCATTGTTTTTGTGTGCCGTTCCGGATCTAGCTGGCTTGAAAGAAAGACAGAAAAAGAAAAACCCAAGCCAAAGAGTTCGCGTTGACGTCTTTTGCCGGATTAAGTAATCGTTGAGTCAAATCACACATTATGCCAGCACGGAAATGTATTTTTTTTTTGTACATATATCAAAAAAGAACTAATTTAACCGGATTCGAGTATGATGGAAATATGAACGAAACAAATTAGGTCAGACAATATTTTAAAAAACGAAAGTTCTGCAGAATGCCATGCACCGAACACCATCCATTCAAAAAAAAAAACATTAGCATCACAATAGAATTTAAACTTGACGCATATAGAGCTCATATGTACAACTCCGCTCGTCGACAAAATGAAAAGATCACAGATTAATTTTATAACAGAGTCTTAAAATGTGGGCCCTGCACCAAAATATGTCACCTATTTCCTATAAATGGTATTGAGCTAAAAAAAAATAGCCCAAACTTTGAGGCTGATTAACTCGAAATTTGAATGCGTATTTATTTTTTTAATATCTGTTGTCATTAAATCCGATAAAAGGCCACATAAACTGGTAGTCACCATTTCAAATAGAAACGCTACTTAAAAAAAAAATCATTTGATTTTGTTTGTGTTCTTAGTGAGTGCCTCATCTAATGACCGAAACAAATTCAACCAACCGGAACATATTTTCTCCAGACGTCTCAATTAGCTTTACTTCCAATTGCCATGAATTTTCAATGGATTTTCGATAATACTTGTTGACTGCCAACCGTGAGTGTATTTTATGTACGGGAAATTAGTACAAGCTTAATAGTTCTTGAAGGAATTGAAAATGTTTTCTTTTTTACACTTATTGGCATCTGTTGGTTTAATGTGTCGTAAAAATTGCGCCATTCAAATGGAATAGAGTGAGATAGAGACAGAGAACAAAAAAAATAAAAAATAAAATTATCTCCAATGAGCCGATTAAAGTATCTATATATGTTTCACATGTATGTGGAAATGAAATGATATGAAATTAAATGAAATGAATTCAACTAACGACGCAATTTCTTTTTAATATTATATGCAACAAATCAATGGCCAAAGTGAAAATAACGTAAAGTCGCTTGGAAATGTATATCACTTCATTAAATCACATTGTATACGCGTGTCTTGATATTTTTCTGGTGCGATTTACTCGATATCTTAATCGATTCGTATCATTTGCTCGCGTGTTTCCTCTACAATAAACGCAGCAAACAGAATTTATCAGCTCGAATCGAACAAATGACAGTTTAATGTACAGAACATATTAATTTCGTTTCCAGTTTTTAGCTGCAAACACATTTCACTTTTTTGTTCGAAAGCGATAGTCGGTGACCATGACTTGGTTTCATGATCTCGTGATACAGTTAATTTTTTTTTTGCATTTGTTCCTGCTGCAATTATTGATTTTAGAATGTGATCATATTTGGAATATGGTCTAACTTTCTTCCGTGTGAAAGCCTCGAACAACGATACATTTATTATCGAAGCGCAAAAGAATGGAGATTATTAATTTTGAAAGTTGAGTCACGCATAATCAAAAGGATGTGCAAAATCATCTTTATCTTAAGACCATACATATTTGGAGTAATGGACATATTCCATATAAGGATCCACCGTTATTTTGTCCAAGTGAATATGACTCATTGTGTCACTTATGCACAAAAAGTGATCTAATCACACTTTCGAAAGTAAAACTGTTTATTTCACAAAATAAATCACTTTCTGCGGTTACTTTGGGTCTAATTCAAATTCAAGTCACGTAATCCGAATACAATTTGGTGACTAAGCCGAACGATTATTAAATTTATTACGAGCACACGCATTTGTACATAACGTCGTCGTGCACATAAAATGAATTATTTATTCAGTCTGGTAGGTCCGTAAGTGACATGAAAATAAATGCGTTAGATGCATTGCAATGGGTGCTTCCCAGACACATTTATGTTCATGTAATTTACGCGTAACTCTGACCAATCCTAACATATGCTTTTGTCGAAATCGTTTTTTTTTTTTGCAATTAGAGTAACACCTAAATTAGAATGATTTATCTGTCGAAAATCTGGCAAAAGCGAAAGTTTCAATTCTGCTGGTAAGCAAATAGTTGAGCTCAATCACTTTTCTCCCTCGACTGCAGTTAAATGATTCAATGCAAAGTAGTGGAAATTTTTTGCCAAAGATTTGAATCACAGTTTGATGTTGGCAACAAAGTAGTTGAAAGCAATTGAAAGAAATATACCGTTTTATGAAATAATTAACACATTTCCAGTGAACGAAGTTGGCGAAAAGTTGTGGTAATAAACAGTCCATAAACCATATTGCCCAGAGGCTTGTACATATTTTGCTATGAATTTTTGATGATTTTCAAAAGGCGAAAAAAGAGCTCAGACTGTTTGCCAAGCGATGCATACAAATGTAAATTGCTAATTAGCAATTTAAAAAGGTGCTCAACTTTATCTCAGTGTGTAATGTGATGTTCCTTTTCGTCGATGCTGTGCGAGCTAATTAAATTTCATTTTCACAAGTTATGGTAGTTTATGTGTTTTGTTTTTCCGTAAATAATTTTGAAAAGAGAAACAAAACAAACACTGAAATTGATGACAATAGTAATTATGTAGCGAAAATGCAGGTAGCGAGCAAATTAATTTCTATGTTCATCGTCGAAAACACAACAACCAGTTCACATTTCAAATGGATTTGCGTGGAAACTTATGTAATGAGATCACTTTTGAATGTACGAACCATGTGTTCATTTTTCCGTTCTACTCGAATTTCGTGATCTTTCTATTTTCTCTGCACGACCAAAAAGTCAGTGAAACTACGCGCCTAATTGTTAAACATGTGTGGGAGCCAAAACATCACGATGAAATTCGTACACTTTTTCTCGGTTTAAAAAAAAGTAGCGTTAATAATAAGCTATGAATGAAAGTTCTTGAATGGAATGTTTTTTTGGTTTGTTTGTTTGTGCGTTCGTTTTCGATTGTTCGTCAATAAACTCGGTTAAAGTCGATAATATCTGGGCTGTCGTTGATTTGTTCATTCTTTTCATTTAAAACTGGTATTCACTATTTTGAATCGAAATGAACGAAAATCATTGGGAAAAAAGGCGGAATCAAACTCATGAAAGCGTTCAAACATTTTTGCATTGAAAAGAATGCTGATGTTCCGTCCATTCGTGTATGGATTTTTTTCTTCTTCGTTGTTTTCCCGTGTTAATACCGCTAAACGATTGCTCGTTAAATCCACCTCTTCAATCAAAAGAAACTCAAATAATTGGCCCTTATTACAATAACTCAATCTTAGAATGCGCAAACATCAAAGAAGATTCGATAGTTTCGGTATCTTCCTCGATGAATAGGTATGAATATGTGAAATGAAAGTGATATTTAGCACAATCAGAATCGCATTCCAAAGGGGAAAGATTTGACTGCGACTAGATGAATATGGCATTGCATTGCATATAATTTGATTATAAGTTTATTTTTATTTTTCGAATTGCATGGAAAGTCACTCAACCAAATTGAATCAAAACATCATCGAAGAAAGCGCTTGTCATTTTCTCGTCTCAACGACTCGATAATAATCAAGCTTTGAATTTCCTTCGAAAATCTTTTGTCAAATACGATCACATGCAGAGCGACGAATTTTTTTTTACATTTAATTTCACGCCATTCTGTCGCACACGAAAAATAATTTCGACGAAAGTGATCTTACGTATGTTGCATGTCGTTTCAGCTCCAACATATCAAATATTTGTAACAATGGCAGTAATATTCATAACAATAATTCATTTTTTTTGTACATATAGTTACCTGTATATCTCTGCGTTTTATTTATATTTTGACTGAAAACGAATTTTATCAACCAGATCATAATCATATGCAAGAAATAACAACATTAAATGAAATCAAAACTAACAATATCGTGTACGGTGTTCGCATTAAGAAAAATATCAAGCCGGAGAAAGTGATTTTTGTCTGGCGTCGTCATTTTTTTTTTCGTCGTACCATTCAAAAGCGTCAACGATGTATGTCATAGATCGCGCAGTTGAAAACATGTCTCTGCTTGAAATCATCCACTTATTTATTATTAACAACGACGATTTTTGCGTGCGATGGAGTCATTGGTGAAATATGCGAATTTATTTCCATACAATACCGTTTAAATATACCGTTTGATGAGCAACAGCCGCTTTCAATTAACGGTCTGTTGTGGGCTTTTTTTTCACAACTTTGCGTAATCTTCATGAATCAGTTTATATACAGAATTTGCGTACGCATACACACTCAAGGTCATTGAAGAAGAGAAAATTGAACGTTGAATTTGGGACGAATTTCTCATTTTTTGATGTTAACATATCATCAAAATGCATGCATTCAAAAGAAATATACATATTAAATGATATGATAAGAATTTTGTTGTTCAAGATTTTCTCAGTGCAAATGACAGAACATGTACGCATATAATTTATGAAAATTGATTTCGTGCCGTCTTAAAGTGATGTTAAACGATTCTTTTTGCGAGCTTCATTTCGCCGAACGACAGCCAACCAATATGAGAAGCAATCAATTAATGAGTAATTTATCACCCTCCTGAAAATATTATGCTGATGTCAACTTGTGTAAAATGTCACCATGAATTAAGGTTATTGGATTTTCTTTCACCATTTGCTTTATGTTTTCCGCGTATATTCTTCTTGTTGTTTTCTTCATTTTTCCAACGCGCTACGCAGGCTTGGCAATGATAAAACTTGGACGATAAATTAAATTCTCTTTGCAAATAAATCGCGAAAAAAAGCAGTGAAACAAAGAGAGAAAATGAAAGAAAACGTATGAAATAATGCTCAGATCGAAGCGGCAGCTAAAAAAAATAACGGACAGAAAAAAACGGATACACATTTATAATAAAATAAAATAAAAAAAGAAATCAAGCAAATGTTGCACATTGAATGAGTAAATGCATCAATTTTCGTCAAATATGTATAACGAATGTGTAGATGATTACATGAAAATGACATCAACCGAATGCACGAATTTGAGTTAGTAGTAAGGAAAATCCACAATTGCAGCCAATCAAATGGACAGGGTGTCATGAATTTATCCCGGAACTCATTAACTGAATGCTTTTGATATTGGCAATTATTTTGAGCAATTTGGTTTTGAACACACTGTGTTATGTGTGATTATGATGAGTTGCGTTTGTTGCGTCTCGTATGCGGGCCATGATTCAAGCTATGCAATGCAAACAACTTCGAGGCACACATACATACAATCACGGTAGAATGAATAGTGTAAACAAGAAAGACCGATCTACCTGTGGCTCACACGCCATGTGCTGCTGCCACTGCTGTATGCTGTTACCGTTGCGTTTTCTTCATCATTCGCGGCGTGTCTATGTGTTTGTGGTTTGAAATGTGGAGAAAGGGGTCACAACTTTCTCGTGATATAAAATCTTGATACAACTGAAAAAACACCGCATTTTCTTACGAACCTTTGCACAGTCCATGTGATTCGGCTTTGGCAATTTCTTTGGATTATAACTGCTGCGATCAGTGTTTTGTTAATTTTCGGGTGTTTCTTTACTATATTTTTTTTTTTTTCAATTCAAATCGTTTGATTTTCTTGGAAAGTCGATGTCAAAAACGTGCATATTTGAAACGAGTATTTGCTGTCCATACAACACAATTGTCGAATCGAGAATAAATTAAAGTCGATTAAAGTGCTTTGATTTCAATTAGAAGCTGAGTGGCGAGCAATCCCCGTGCAATTTGGTTGTTAACACTTTTTCATACACGAAAAAGAAAACCAATTATAATTTGAACCGAAACGAGTACGAAAACCTTAAAGTGAGTGTGCGATCACTGTATATCTATCACAAAAGTGACAAATTACAAACAATTCAGACGCGAGAAACGAAAGAAAGAAAAAGAAGAAAAAAAAAAAACACACACACTCAATGGATTTCATTTATCCCATGGATTTATTTTTTATTAAGTTATTTTGAGACCACAACCGACAAACAATTACAGTGAAACATTTCATTTCTCTAACTCTCTCCCTGTATCTGTTTCTATTTAATTCTTGTTTCTTGCATTTTAGTGTGCCATTTTATGTGGAGTTATTAAATTCGTGAAATACTGATGAAATTTCCAGTGCAAAGGATTTCATAAAACACAAACTTAACTATTTAACAATATTCAATTGGACTTTATTGTGAAAATAAAAGAACATTTTTATCGGTATGTATCAATTTTCTTTTCCTACATAAAAAAAAAGAAGTAATTATGTTTTTTTTTCTGTTGTCATGGATTTGTGTTTGGATGCTTCGTTGAAAACTGGGTGAAATTATGATTACGGTGTTAATGTGAATCGATTGAAATGAGCAATGCATTTTATGTTGGTGTGTGTGTGCGTTTTTTTTTTCATTTATGGAAATTATTCGATGAATGAAGCTGAAGAAGCGTTCCATTAAGATAAGAATAATGAGTGCATCATTAAATTTCGCCAAATTAAGTGTTGAACAAAAATGAGGGGAAGACATGAGTATATAACGTTTTTATAAACTAGCCCAATTTGAATAGTTTGAGCATACATGATAGACGAATGAGTGCACAATGAAACATATCGAACCACATACAGGTACCACTAATTAGATAGACACGGTGAGTAGTGTGCTGCACGGGTGCGCTCGCGCGCACGATTGTGTGTGTGTGCATCAATAGAAATGAATGTTCGATCGCTTTGGCGAGAAATCGATTAGCTGAAAAGAAAACAGAACAAATAGTGTTTTACGAAAGCAATGGCATATACTGCACATAAAATGTGCGCCGCTAGTAACACAACTTGCATCGTATATCGATATTCTTTTCTATCTATGCTGCGTACGTCTCTCGTTAATAGCCAGTTATATTGTGAGGCACCTAGAACAAGCACCAATATAGCGGATAACACAATTTTCGATTCACTCATTTCCGAATGTGTGTTCAATCGTTTCAACAACGATAAAATATCGCATGGATTTGTGCGCACAGCACAACATTCAGTCAATTTTCGTTCAAAAGCATAAACAATTATATGTGTATATATCAAAACGAACGCATGCCGGCATCATTCAACCAGCAGCTTATGTGATTAGTTAAAATTGCAATTTCATTCGTTTCATACGAGTGCGAGCTTACGCTTGCTCGCACATTGATCCATATTTGTTTTCTCTCTGTTTGTCCAATTTACAAAAAAAAAAAAAAAACACCCAAACAACGTCGAATTCATATCGAACGGAAAAACAACAATCCATGCAAAATGCGTCGCAAGTCAGTTGTGATCTATTTCATTTATTGTTAATTTAAGTAATAGAGGGAACATAAATATATTATATGCTTAAATCGGAATTAGTCGAAAGCGCATGGCAGAACATTCGCTATGCGCGGTCGACAATTAAGGAATATTTTCTGATTTTGTACAGTCAATTCGACAAACAAACATCATCCGGGCCGGTATTCTAATGCCACTTTCCGATCAATTTGTTCGGAATTATTCCGAAAAACATATTTCTATGAATGAATATTGTTTTGAATAATATTGTAGCACATAACGAGAATAATAGTCGTTATTCATAAGACAAAAAAAAATAAACAATATTCCACTTATTTTGTTCGGAATTATTCCGACACCTCTTTCAACAGTGGAATTATTCCGACAATATATTGAGCGGACTATTCATTTGAAACTAATATTTTTTTGTCTTTTCAACGTTTGGCGTCAAATATGGACACCAAAAGTACCAAAATATAACTTTAATAGAGCTCTACATTTGTCGCCAAACATTGAAAATATTAAAAAAATTGTTACACACTCAAAATATTAGCTACGGTCAGGCGCTGAATCGGACTGAAAACAATAGAAGTGGTTGTTATAGTGATTGTAGTAATGTGAGTGTTAATATAATTATAGCAATAACTTTTATTGTTTTCACTGAGCTGAGTTGTTTATATAAACAAATGATTCCGAACGATTTTTGTGGATTGTTCTAGAATACCGGCCCCGCTGCGTTTTCAACATTGAAATTCAATAATATGAATGAACAACATCTTTCTTCGTTAAAAAAACTCAGAGCTTTACGTTTGAACGATTGAAAGTGAGTTTTTGCTAAATAGGTTTTTACGGTCGGTTGAAAAAATTCGGTCGATTCATTGGAATCAGTCGGATGTGTGTCACGAGGAAAAGTATACAAAATGTATGCGAGTGGTGTGCATGGAAAAACCATTTCGTTTCATCGAATCGAAAAACAAACCGCCACGCGAAAAGCGAATGAAATGAGAATATACGGAAATTAAACAATGATTGTCGTTTATGACAAAACACTTGCCGTTCGACTGAATTGAATTGCACATTCGGTTCCCTTTCAATTTGCAGTCTGCAGTCATCATCACAATGGAACCTTTCATTTTTCTCTCTGTCCCTCTCTCTCTCTCTCTCTCTCTCGCTCTCTCCCCGTCGCAATTTACTCATGCAAATACAATGATTATTTGTGGTTTATTTGTTTATTTCCAAGCATTTATAGAATCATTTTATGCATTTTATTTACGGTTGCACCGTTAGTATTGCTACACGCTCTTTCTACGTTCTCGCAGAATATTTGCAAGAACTACCGAGACAAAAGATCTTTCTCTTCATTTCCATGTGTGCATCATGAATATTTTTCCAGCACACAATTTAGATACATTTGTAGCACAGCCCGAAGCATTTTCTTATTTCTAATCATTTATGCAGATTTTGTTCTGGTGGTGTTGTTTCACAGCTGCTGCCTTGGCTGTTGTCGATCTAATAATAACACATTTTATTTTCCAAAGTGTTGGTGTTATTATTTTTCTTCTTTTTTTGCATTCGAAGTAGAGCAACTTCTTCTTCTTCTTAATCTTGCCTTTGGAGCTGGCGCGCATCAGTGTGCAACAAAACAATACAGTTTATAGTTAGCTGTTTCAAACTCGTTTGAAACTTGTCAGTGCTCGAAGAACATTTCAACGCATTTTCTGTTTCTAGTTTCATTCTCATATGTGTTAAACACTTGTATAATTTGAAGATTGAAGACGATTACATTTCTGGAAATTATTTAAACTCTTTTAACTTGTTTAATGTTGTTTGCTGCAATCGAAAGACTTTTACAGAGTATATTATTTGTAAATTCGTTGGAATTCGTCTGTTTTTAACCCCATACACCAACAGTTGGCATCCGCATTAATAAATACAGTTTGATAACATTGTGTGTTAATTTTCTCTGTCAGAAGAAATTTTTCAGAGCAATAAAATTGTGCAATGAATGGCTAACTGAATCAGAACAGAATGCATTTCCATTTTTTTTTTGCTCGCAGAAAATGTGTTGCAGTATCTTCGTGATTTTATGCGAAAAATTCTGCGTCAAGTTGACTTTTAATTTGGAGATGAAAAGTGTCAAAAATTTAGATGCATTTCATGACTTTTGATCTCTAAACAATGACGGAAACATACGGTTGCCGTGACGTATGAATGTCTAGCAATGATCAAAATTGGAACGATGCATCACATGAAAATGATGATTTCCTTAAAAAGAAGAAGAAGAAAATTCATATTATTTATGATGTGCCCGCCACAAATTATTCGCACTCTTGTTATTCCGGCAAGTACAACCGGAGCCGTTATAATCCACTGACTGCATTTGTACGGCATGTGTGTGTGTTATTTTTTATTCGTTGCCTTCAAGCACTTCCCCACATGTGTGCCATAGAATTTCAGTAAGTTTTTCTTTCTGTATTTCATTGTATTCTTTCACTCTTCAACATTTCGATTATATAGACCGTGAGAGTATGCAATTCATGTTTCGCAGCAAAGAATGAAAGAGGAAAAGAATGCTTGCGTGTATGCATTTAGCGAAACAACAGCTAAAACATAAATCCAACAAAATAAAACAGCAAACGCTTAACATAGTAACAATTAAAAATAAAAATCCGAATTGTGTGCTCACCAAAAATGTGAACAAGTGGTTTTTCGAGTGAATATACTCGATTTCCATCGGCGCGGTTCATCATTTGTTTTTGTGGCCGATTTATCAATGCCAATGATGCTTTTTTTTACCAGGTGGCAAAAATCCCATAAAGTTTCTTCGATTTCTTCTTGATTGTGTGACCGTTGATTTATTCTTGAAAATGTGACACTTTCGCATCAATCACATGCCAATAATTGCTCACATAAAAACATTCTTGTACCAAAAAAGTGACAATACGGCTAAAAAAATTCTATTAAATGGTCACATGTTATTGTTGGCACGTCTAACATTATTCAAATATTTTGGTTGAATTAACGAAATAAAATGGATTGATTGGCGGACATGTTGTTGAAGCACGAACGTAGCTCGCAGCATATGTGTACCTCTTTTTTTCTCAATCGGTTTTTTTGTCTATTTGTTTGAAATAAGAAAAGAAACAGTCGCGTTTTTTTCTGTTTTCATCTAATTTACGAACGAAGTGAGTACAGAGTAAAAATAGCGAAAGCATATCCGGAATGGTGATGGAGAAAGAAGAAAAGCAAAAGAAACACCAACAACTCAACGAAAGAAAAACGCATAAACTGCTTTCAAAGCGTGTATGTATCAAAGCGATCAGTTGCAAACGGAACGAAAATCCAATTCGATGGTGGTTTTTTTTACGCTAAAAATTTTCCTTTTGCATTTGTCGTTGTTAGGTTTTTTTTTTCACTCAATCATATCATGTTTGTTTTCAGCAGCTATTTTTTGCGATGCGATGAGTAACGATCCATGAACGAATTTCTATTTGTTTTGTTTGTATTTCATAATTTGAAACTGTATCGCACAATTTTGATCAAAAGCGTCATGGAATCATGGAAAAACGCATTAAAAACCAAATAATCATCGTGACAAAGCTTGGCACCACGACATACTGAGACCCGGTACTCAACAGCAATTAAATCAATTTGCATTGAACGATCAATTCTTCATACGCATTTTTGTCAGCGTCTACTTGCTTCACGAAATATCATAATCACTGTTGAAAATTACATCGCAATGAAAACAAAAAAAAAAACCACATGAATTATCTTTGTTGGTTTTTCATAATTTCGGCGATTGCATAAGAATATCAATTGTTTCAAAAAAAAAATGTATATATTTTCATTAAGTTTTCATGTGCGGAACACTTAAAATGGAACGTTAAGAGTTGTAGTTGTTTGTTGTTACCTCGGAATGATCACA